TATTGTCAATGTTTAGAGCCCATTTGGTATCCTACTAAAATTTTTTTTTTGGTTGAACTCAAACACCCTTGAGCAAGAATTTCATGGCATCAGAGATGAAACTAAACCAGGTTCCATTTCTACATCACGACGGCGATGGCCGCTGTCGTGTAGAAGAAGCCCACACGGCAGCTCAAAATCGACTTAATGTCGACGACTGAGTTGAAGGGGTCTATTGGAGTAGAGGCTAAACTTGATTCAATGATTCTGGTGATGAGAGGCAGAAATTGAAGAACGACAGGAGAGAGCATATCAATAAAATTGGAGGAGAGAGAGTGAGAGAGATCGACAAATATTGGGGAGTGAGATATAGAATTTGAGATTGGAAAGGAAATGTATGAACGCAAAAGAGTAGAGAATAGGTGAGAATAATTTGTGATTGATTTACTTGATTATTTGCATTATCACAGATTGTATATATAGGGTTTTTTAAACTTTAATCCTTCAAGAATATTGAAATTTAAAATAAGCCTAGTGTTAGATTACATATTGATTATAATTCCTTGATGTGTCCTTAATTCAAAATAATTAATGTGCATTTTATTTAATGTCTCCCATTAAATGTTTATGTCACATCCCAGCCCGGGGGGGGGGGACCCACTTCCCGGGCCCGCTCCATCACCTTAACACGATATTGTCCTCTTTGGGCCCCGACCACGCCCTCACGGTTTTGTTTTTGGGAACTCACACGAGAACTTCCCGATGGGTCACCCATCCTGGGAGTGCTCTCGCGCGCTACTCGCTTAACTTCGGAGTTCCCATGGAACCCGAAGCTAGTGAGCTCCCAAAAGGCCTCGTGCTAGGTAGGGATGGGAATATAAATTTAAGGATCGCTCCCCTGGGCGATGTGGGATGTCACAATTTAAATTTATTAATATACAAATTTTAATTATTTTTTGACCAAAAAAGAGTTTTTTAATTTATTAATTTTATTTAACATTCTTCAAACTTGAAAGACTCAATTAATGTACCTAAATATTAGTACTGAAACATGTGTACCGAAATGTATGTGTCGAAATATATGCACCGAAATGTATTATGTTAAATTGATGTACCTAAATGTGTGTACCGAAATGTTAGTACCAAAATGTATTATATTGAATTAATGTACCTAAATATTTGTATCAAAATGTATGTATCTAAATGTGTGCACCGAAATATATTATAATGAATTTAATGTATCTAAATGAAGAAGACAAAGTACATCAAAATATATTGTATAACAAAAATTAGTTTATCTAAATGTTTACAATAAAATATATTAGGATAAATGAAATGAAAATGAAAATTATAATGAATTAAAATTAATACATTAAAAATTAGGAAGAAAAAAGAGAAATAATTAATAAATCAAAATATAATTAATAAATGAGTTTATTAATGTATCAAAGGACTGAAATTAGATTTTAATCTTACTCATGATTTTAATCTAAAAGTCATCTTTGCCAAGGATTAAAATGAAGTTTTCAAGGTTTTTTTTTTAACTTTAATCCTTCAAGAAAGATTGAAATTTAAAATAAATCTAGTGTTTGATTACATATTGATTATAATCCCTTGATGTGTCCTTAATTCGAAATAATTAATGTGTATTTTATTTAATGTCTCCCATTAAATATTTAAATTTATTAATATACAAATTTTAATTTATTTTTTGACCAAAAGAAGAGTTTTTTAATTTTATCTAACATTCTTTAAACTTGAAAGACTCCATTAATGTACCTAAACGTTAGTACTGAAATGTATTATATTGAACTAATGTATTTAAATGTTAATATCAAAATGTATGTGTTGAAATATATGCACCGAAATGTATTATATTAAATTAATGTACCTAAATGTGTGTCAAAATGTATGCAACAAAATGTTAGTACCAAAATGTATTATATTGAATTAATGTACCATATGTGTACCTAAAAGTCATCTTTGCCAAGGATTAAAATGAAGTTTTCTAGTATATTCATATATACATATTACATCAGTTGACTTTGTAAAGCCATAGAAGGCAAGTATTAGAATACAACACAACAGTAAAGACAGAGACTGAGTGAATCGTGCAGTGCAGCAAATCACATCCTAATGGTAGATTTGTCTACTTGGTTTGCTGGACTTGTAGTAATCTCTTTATCCCCCCTCAAGCGAAGCAGAACAAAGTGAAGATTGAGCTTGGAAATAAGGAAGGAGAATCGTTCACGAGATAGTCCCTTGGCGAAGACATTGGCAATTTAACATTGTGATGTGAAGGAATATGTCGAGTGGCAAGGACCCCGCGAGCAATTAACTCACGAACAAAATGGTAGTCAATTTCTATGTGCCGAGTGTGAGCAAGGAAGATCGGATTTGTAGCCATTTGAAGAGCGAAGACATTATCAACATAAATGCATGTGGAGTATAAAGAGGAAGGCCAATCTCATGAAACAAATAGCAGAACAACCGTAGTTCAGCTGCAGTGGTGGCAAGAGCGCGATATTCAGCTTCAGAGCTTGAGTGAGACACTGTGGATTGCTTTTTAGCAGTCCAAATAAGAAGGTTCGAGTCAAGGAAAATGCACGCACCACTAGTGGATCGACGATCATCAACAAAACCAGCCTAGTCAGCATCGGAGAATCCACGAAAAAAGAAGTCTGTTGAGGAACGAAAGAGGAGACCATGAGCAACGGTGGCCTTGATATAGCAATAAATGTGCTTGATTGCTTGAAGATGAATGGTTTTCGGATTGTGCATGTATTGACAAACTTGATTGACAACATAGGTAATGTCGGGGCATGATAGAGTAAGAAATTGGAGAGAGGGAGGATTAGAGAGGGAGCAGAGGGAGATTGAGTTAAAAAACTTCAAAAACTCATGTATTGTGTTTTTAAGTTTAAAAAGTTGTTTTCAATGGAAGTATGACAGTAACCTAATTAATAATATTAGGGAAACTATAATTTTAAATCAAATGATTTAATTGTTGATGATTGAATTATTAATTAAGTGTTATTTGTTTTTTTATTGATGACACATTATTTAATTTACAAATTTAGTTTAAAAATTTAGTCTTCTTAGCATTGTCTATAACATAATTGCCAAAATTGACATTATTGTTGGTGTTGCAACTTGCATGTATTTGTATACTTGCATGTATTCGTATCCCATATAATACTATCCAATATCAGGCCATGTTGCTTTCCAAACAGATAAGGAAATTTTGAAAATATGCAAGAGACCTTACCTTTAATTTAAGGGGACTCAAGATGCAATCAACAGAGCTAAGAGCATCTTCATGGTGTACACACACACACACACACACACACACAAGAAGGAAGAAGAAGATTCTTTTCTTTTTCTTTTTTTTTTTTTTTTTTTTTGTTGTTGTCGTCAAAACGATAAATTTTGTTAAATTATATGTTAGATTAGTTATCGATGGAATTCGAAATCATACTATCATGTAAAAATTCAAACTTTTTTTTTTTTTTTTTTTACACTATGTTGAATGACCACTTGCCTTTAATTTATACAAATAATAATGTGCATGAGACACTGCCTTTAATCTATGTAAGGGTCCCAAGGGCAGACGCGATCATGAATGCAAAACTATATGAATAATGTCGGTGTGAATGTCCTTTCTCTTTCGGTGGGAGTCCTTCTCATTGTTCTATGAATGAACTTATTTCTCGTAATCCAACTATTTTATTGAGATCAAATGATCGAAATTTCCCTAATGATTAAGTGAGCATTTTTGCTCATTATCGTAAACTATAGTGTATGTTCATCATACACTTAATTATTTGCCACATGTCATTTTATTTGATCTTGGTTAATTTTTTTCAAAATTGTAAAAGTAACATTGAACTTGAGTTAAGTGAAAGGCTATGTGGCAGATAATTAGGTGAAAAGACATGTCTTTAGTCTCACCAATCCTTGTCGCCATTGGCCATGTTGTGGTTAGGATCAGTGGCAACTATCATCACTTTGTTGTTTCAATAGCTCTACCCCAAATCTAAATCACCACTTTCTTCCATCTCCCACAGTTCATCTCTCCCATCATCTTCATCAGTGGGTTCCATCATCTTCCCATCCATTTACAAGTTTGATCGATTACCGTTTGTGTTTTTCGTAATTTGTAGCAGAGTTTAGGGAGGATGTATAGAGCTTCAGCTTGGGTGTTCGCACTATCACCTTTGTTGGCCCTTGTTGGTCATTCCTGCTGTTCGCATTTGTTAGCGATGTTGCATGTGAGATCTTTCTTCTTGTGGACTTCCTATGTCATGTGATAGCGATCGTTGTTGTGGTGGTCCTGGGAGGATGCTGTGACCTTACTTTTACTCAACACTGGGGCACTCGCATGCAATCAAGGGTGCAACAGATTGTGTTGATCGTGGCATGGAGTAGGAACTATGCCGCGGAGGCAGTAGCTACATAGATTGTAGCTTCTTATTTCTATACCCACTTTATAACCCTACATCCCTACCCACCACCAAAAATTAAAAAATTAAAAAATTAAAACCCTATTTCTCCACCAACTACCATTCCCAAAATAACCTCGTATCATAAGACACAGGAATAGAAATATCAGCACTCTTTTTCTTTTGTGCTAACTTTGTATCTGAACCTTAATGTTTGTAGTTACCATTTGTTGGTAATATATTTACCATTTGACCAAAGAAAAAAAGAACCACCAAGTAAATGATTGATTGAGCTGTGCTAGTAACAGTAGTGCAAAGACTTCTGGCTAATGCAGACAATCTCATATTATATCAACGGTCAACAATCGTCCACATAAAACATTAAATAAAGTAACAAAATCCATGGAAGATTTGCCGACTTTTCCAACCTTTGACGCGCACACATTTTTGGCACTGCCACTTCACTCGCCATTAACCTAATAGTTATACCTAGATGGTTAATTTTGTAATTTAGCGCAAAGCTGATGTCATTTTTTCAGTGGACAGCTTCGAGGCAACTTGTCATCTTCCTGATCAGAAAGTTTACAACTGACCCAAACACCGACTCATCTCTCCTCCACTGCTACTACGATTAAACTCTCTCTCTAAAGTCACCATGGCACACTGGTCAGGTGCAACTCTTAATCAATCTTAATCCATCCGTTTAATCTTCACATATTCAATATCTCGTGCATTTTCAGGTGATCACTCCACTGCCCATTCATAATTAACGAAAAAGTTTCAAAATTTTCACTTTTTAAATTCTGGGTTTTATTTTTAAGCCACGATTCATTTCCAATTATTGTGATTTAGTTTTACCTTGTTTATTGATCTTGTGGTGGTTTTAGAAGTTGAGTTTTTGTGCAATTATTGGCTTAACTGATCACCATTATTGCTCTTAATCATTGGCTTAAGTTGTTTGATTCTTCACGTAATCACTGTCCTGTTTTGTTCTGTCAACAGAAATTGCGTACAAGATTAGTTGATATCGAAAATCATATAGACCAATATCTTTTGGTTTAAAAAGGTAAGCATTTTGTTACTCTTGAATTTTTGTAATTTTGATTTTTTGCTGAGAAGTTATGCTGATTGCTGGATGCTCTGTAAGGATAGGGTCTTGATTTTGTATATTTTGGCTTTAAGGGGTCTGGTCTTGTTCGTAGTTTTCTCGATTTTCGATGGCGGGATTGGTTGGGCCGAGGTTGTACAGCTGCTGCAATTGCCGAAACCATGTTGCCCTTCACGATGATGTCATTTCGAAAGCCTTTCAGGTGAACAATTTTACTTTGATCAAGTTGTTGTATATATTCTGAATGTCTCTCATTATGCTTATTGGGTAACCAACAAAAATCCGGTCTTTACAATGAAATGAATTGGTGTTTACTTTTCACTACATTTGGAGGAAATGAGGAATACAATTTTAGACTTTTCCTAATTTGAAATGAAGATTCAGTTCATACTCAATTAACTACCGTTATCCGTTCTTGTTTTGACATGAATTGGTGTTTACTTTTCATCACATTTGCCATTTGGAGTAAATGAGGAATACATTTTTAGCTTTTTCCTAATTTGAAGTGAAGATTCAGTTCATGCTCAATTAAGTAACAAATCTCTGTTCTTATTTTGAGATGAATTGGTGTCTACTCTTCCCTACATTTGGAATTTTGGAGTAAATGAGGAATAAAGATTTTTCCTTTTTGCATGTTGAAAATGAAATGAAGATTCAATTTGTACTCGGTTATCTATGCCAGGAGCCGAGTGGTTGTCGTGTGTTTGGTTGAGAGTTTCTATTTTCTGCATTGTGTTCGTATGGTTATTGTGTGTGTAAACGATAGTCTTCAGGATTTGAGTATGATGAGTAGATTGCAAGAAACATGATTCGACTATCTATTTTATTAAATCATAGGGTAGAAATGGTCGAGCGTTTCTGTTTTCACATGCAATGAACATTACAGTCGGGCCAAAAGAAGACAGACAACTCATGACCGGTCTGCACACGGTCGCTGATGTTTCCTGCTGCGACTGCCATGAGGTGCTGGGTTGGAAGTATGAACGTGCCTATGAGCAAACACAGAAGTACAAGGAAGGGAAATTCATTCTCGAGAAATCGAAGATAGTCAAGGAAGACTGGTAGCATCTGTGAAGGCTTTCAAGTTCATCCATCTGCATGCCAAATGTAAGTGTATGGATGCTCGTGCTTGTATTTATCTTGTCAAATTCTTAACAATTGAAAAATTCAATTGTTGTTGTTCGTTGTGGATTCCTCGTCTGTTGTGTGAATATTGTATCTGGAACTGGGGAACTGGCATATTACTAATTTGAATAAGATGTGAATAATTCATTCAGTAAGCTGGCTAGAAATATTCATTCAGTAACCCTCCAATGCCTCCAAAACCTCGACAGAACTGCGACCCTCGTGTGATTTGTTGGTGACAAACTTAGATCACAACCAAAACGCTTGTGCTTGTCAACGGACCATTTCAGCAGTGAGATATTCTCCTGAACCTCTAGATCTCCTTGGCTCGCAAGATCTTGAAAGTTGCTCTTATTGTTTCCCAGCTCCTTGTCGAAATGTTTTACAACAATCTCATCGGTCTTCAAGTTATTTTAACACATACCTATTGCTGTCAAGATTTTCCCTCACAATAAGTGTGTTAATCGCTCCCATCTCCAAAGCCTTTAGCGTGTCATCTACGCCCATGGTTAACTTCTTCAAAGTGTCTTCCGAGCAAGTTGTGCTCCTGTATAAATTTCACGTTGGACAGAAACTCCGCCGACAACTTAACAGCCTGATTGAAACCACCCTCTCCTCCGTAAGAAACATCAACCACTTTCAGTACTTTAGCCTGGAGGCGGGGATCAAAGTTACCTGATTCTCTAAGCTTCGATTTCAAGTCAGCTGATCAAGCCAGTACTAATCCCTTAACATTGGGCTGGTTGGTTGCTAGGCAAGTTCTGCTTTCTTCTTAACATGGTTGTCGCGCGCATTAATCTCCTCTCCCTGACGGGCAAATCGAAGATCTGAAATGTTAGAGAATATGTTTGTAGTGCTAGAGTTAGGTTGTTATGGGCGATTTATGCAATCAGCAATGTGCCAGATTCTCGAATTTTTCATTTCCAAGAAATAAGGTACTTCACAGCACCGTATATAAACCAACGTATATGATCGCGGCATCAATATAAACCTTAAAGCAAATGGATGTACCAAAACCTGAAAGATAATTAAGAATAAAATGAATTCGACATCATACAGTACTCCAAACAGTGCTCCTTTCGCGGCCCCTCCAACCAAAGCCTCTGCCATGATATACGAGCTTCCGAAAACTCCCTACACGCAAAAAACAGAAAACTTGTATTCGATTCGATCTAAATTACTGATTAGTCGGATTCAGGCCGGTTTTGCTCGAATCCGGTGGCAGTTGGTGGCGGACCATGAAGCGGATACGGATGCTCCTCCTGTGCGCAGCCTCCACGAAGCCTTGCTCATCCACAAGAAGCTACAGTTTTCGGGTTAGGTGGAATGCTAAGGTGTTGACTGGTTTAAGAGTCTGTGGCTCATTCAGCTGAAGACTGGTTTCTATTTTCTAATATTTTTCTTTGTTCCCAATCATATGTCCTCAATCTCTTTGTTCCTGTCACTTACTTTATAAATTACTAGCCTTTCTGCGTGCGCTTACGTGCGTGCGGACCCTTTTATAATTATAGCATTCTACGTTCGACTTATATGATTTAAATGTATTTATCTACGTGGATTTGAAAAAGTGAATTAAACGTTAAAAAAATGAATGTAACCTTATCATACATTTTGATGGAAGCAAAATATTTTTGTATCCAACATTTCTTGTGAAGACTCCCATAAATTAATAAACATATAAAACACACAGGAAAACAACATAACATGCTAATTATAAACAAACCAACGAAATTAGGACTTCAATTTAAACAGGATTAAAAAGCGACTTGCTGTTTAGCTCACTAACCCCATTGAATGAAAACAAATTCAATAAAATATATATATATATATATATATATATATATTAATGCCACACATGTACAAAAATGTTTGTGGGGATGAGCAATACCTTATCATGGCCATGTATAACTTAATGAAAGCAACGTGAGAATTCCTGCAAAATTAAAAGAAAAGCATGTAAAGAAAAAAGAAACAATATTTTTTTCGTACTTCATCTCAAAAGCCAGAAACTCATCTACTGCCACAATGGCAGCACCAATTTCCATTGATATAATAATTAAACAGTATACATAAACAAAGAAATCATCTTTACATATTGCAGATCAACTTTCATAAAATACATCAATTGATCATCTAACAAATAAAAAATAAAGTTGAAACCTTTTCCAAGGAGATGCTACACATACAAAAAGAGAGTAATCTTAAAGACCTTAATATCCAGCTTTGGATAATTGGTAAGTATCTGCTAACCTTCCTTTATATGCTACAAATTCTGACCTTTGCTTAGGAGCAATGGAATTTGATTATAATTATTCAGAGTGCATGTTCAATTTCATCTTCCCTTTTCTTGGTACGACTTCGCTCCTCTCTTTTCTTGGTGCAAAAATACACCATTTTCTCTTTCGCGGTAAGACTTCGCTCTTTCTTTTCTTGCTTCTTGTCTTCCATTCTCTCTTTCATAGTGAGATTTCTCGCTTTCTTATCGTCTTTTATTTCGGTCTTGGTAAGAAATTTCTCTTTCTTGTCTTCTTTGATCTCTTCCTTCGCTGGCCCAACTGATATTACCTCTGTTTTCGAAGCGATCTTTCTCAACCTAGTAGCTATTAGCGCCGGATCCAACAGCCCCATCACTGTTAGCCTTTGGTTCTTCGCGTCCCAACTGGTCGAATGAACCCCTGCTCATTCAAATCACCCGAAAAATGAAACGGTTTCGTTACATAATACTTTGTATTCGTCTCATATATAGTGCTGTAAACAAAACTAGGCAAAAAAGATTAGAATACCCTTTATGGCGTGGACAGCTTTCATGACTTTCTTCATTGCTTTGTCATTGGCACTCACCTTTAGTTCCAACTTCTGCTGCATATATGTCTGCGTCGACTTGACGGGGTTGTCGGGCTCAAACTAAATTGAAAGAAAGAGAGCATGTTAAAGTTGGATAAGCACCTGAGCCACGTTGGTAACAGTATCAACGCTTCTGTACAAACGAAAAAAACAAAAGCATGAGAATTCGTAGGTGTTCATGGCAGACTAAGAACTCACCATTGTCCCTGCATCTTTTGGAACATACGAGCTTTTATCTCCCAAGGTTGATGCGGAGGAATCATGAAATTGGTCCATTGGCCTGAAAGCTGTTGAAACATGAGAGCTTCCGTCTCCCAAGTAGGACGCGGATGAATCAGGAAAATGAGTTATCGGGCCTTCATCATCAAATGTGATGGGTGGTGGAGAAACACATATCAGGTCTTCATCATCCAGTAATTCGATGTTGTGTGCGCGGGAATGATGAGAAAGAGTCATCTCATCTTCAGCATTCAGTGGTTTCAGATAATATGGAAAACCAAATGCCGGAAATTCATACCTTGATGTCACCATAATCTTGTAATTTGGTGTTTTGAATTCATCAAACTTATCAAGAAGGGATTCCGATCCAGGCCAAACATCATCCAAGACCAACATTGATGGGTGCAGTGCTGTTTTCATGAGAAATTGGTGCAACCAGTGAAGTGCAATTGATTCGTCTTGCAACGCAGGTATCTGGAAACCCATCTGTTGATACAGTGTTTGTACCATAATGCTCAAGTTAGGATTTTCAGAAACATGAACAAAGAAGATGTTGTTCTTGAATATATTTTTGACTTCCTCATCTTCACAGAAGAATTTTGCTAATGTGGTTTTCCCGCTTCCCCCAGGACCCGTTAGCACAACCGCTGACACCTCATCATTAAGAAGAAACCTCTTCAATCCTCTCAGTTTCCTTGTATTCAGCATACGGAGGTTCAGAATCAAACACGTCTTTCCCCTGAATTTGCTTGAGTCCTAGCTCTGTATGAATCCCTTGTTCCCTGCACACTGAGGTCTGCAATGTTTCCTTTGAATCCCTTGTTCCCTGCACACTCGGTACATTCAATCCAACTGCTGGCGGTGTGGCTTCCACCACTTCATATGAACCTTTAATTTCACTTTGGTCGTTTTGTGATTGTATCGCACCACTCCTTTCAGTTTGACTGATCACCCTATGTTGGAAAAAAAAACTTGGAGTACACAACTCTAGCACAAGTGTTGGAGAGACAATACAAGTAAACAAATTACTTGTATTACACAAACAAAATATTACAACACAAACTATCAAAGACACTCTTGACAAGCTATGACACTCACTCACTTTCTAGAGACAAACTCTAGAGCACTCACACTCTTACAAGACTATTCTTTCTTCTCACTCTCACTTGCTTGCTTGCTTACAAGCTTGCTTGGTTGGTTTTGTTGATTTGTTGATACAAATGGTGTGGATGCCTTCTCCTTTTATAGGCATGGATGGAACCTTGGAGAAGCATGGACACACCATGCTAAAGATATCTAGATAATTCCACTAACTTCCTAAGCTAGAATTATCTACACTAATCTTACATGTTGGTGGAAACCTCACCATTCTTCTAGACTCTTCCACCAACTTAAGAAACAACATTCTAGTCATTTCTACAAAGTACTACTTTAACTTGGATTATCTTGCTAACCAACCTTAGTGAATGTTCTAGAATTCTTTATTCTAGATTTGTGTAGGTCTTTTAATTAGATGGGGTTGATTTCTTTAACACCCTATTTATATCACCACTTACGTCCTTTAACTGAGTGCCTGTACCATCACGTTCAATGTAGGGAAAATGCCTACGACAACTTTGTTTGGTGTCATCAAATTCTGATAGATCATGAAATCTACATCACAACATCTAGATTCAGGACAACTAACTAAATTACTAAGACTGAAATCCGAAAACCAAACCAGACAGAAATCATAGAAGCAACAAAATTAGCAGCGCGATAATTACAAAACTAGGTTGAGAGGCCAAACCTGCTGCATTTATGGCAAAACCTTCTCTTTTGACCAGACACAATCACAAGTGGAGCCTTCCAATGAAGTTCGCACACCCAATGCCTTCTATTATACGCCTTTGCATCACTCAGATCGACTGCACACCCATCAGCTTTACAAATAGGCATCCCGTCTCCACTTGCACCTGTCGCAGACTCAGCTCCTTTCTTCTTCCTGTCATGATGATCTTCCACTTGCTCATCAAGTTCCTCATCTTCCTCATCCTTAAGAACATCCTTCCCCAATACCCTAAATGGCACATCAAGTTTGGATACTTCTTTGCCCTGAATTCGCTTGTGCCCCGCCTCTACATCACTTACAGAAGTCTCCTCCATAGTCCTTGCTCCCACCTGCATGTTCATTGCATCCAGTCCAACTGCATGTGATGGATGTTCAGTTTTACTTTGTGCCACCCTACTCTCTTCAACTTTCCGCCACCCCACCTTTATATTAGCTTCCGGATACAATGTCTCAGTCACATCCCTTGTTCCCTCCACACTTAGTGCATTCAATCCAACTGCACTCTTAGCCATGGCTGTGGGCGCTTCACATGAACCTTTAGCTTCATTTTGCTCATTTTGTAATTTTACCACACCACTCCCTTCAATTTGATCGATCACCGCCTCTATATTGCTTACGGAAACCAATCACTCCCTCACATCCCTTGCTAACTGCACTCTTAGCACAGTTAACAATCTTTGAAGCGATTCGTCCAAACCAAGGAGTTTGTTGGTATATTCATACGTTTTATAGCTACTCCACTGACGAACCTTTGAGCAATTGCTCACAAGCTCTGCACCCTTCTCCATTTGCATTCTAACATCTTCTAATTCATCTTTTGGGAGATTCAATATCTTGCTACATTCTGCCACCTCTTCTATCAACGGCTTTACGGAGTCTAGCGTTGATTTGAGATCTCCGAGGGGGCGTTTAAGCATGGTAGTCTTGTCCTCCACTTGCATAACAGTGTCAAACAACACCCCAAACGCCGCTCCTAGAGCAGCAGCCCCTACTCCTCCACCTGACGGCGCCACTTGTTGTCCACCATTCTCTCCATTTTGTTCATTCGGTGTTGTCTCTGCACCACTTCCCGAAGACTCTCCCCCGTCCCTCGATTCTTGCTGCACTTTGAGCATATCGGCCAGTCTCCTTTCCAATTCACCTTGTTTGTCGTTGATCTTCCTAGCCAAAAGCAAGACCTCCTTCACATCCCGCGCTTCCTGCAGCTTCAGTATGTCCAACAATATTCTAAGAGACCTATCCAATTCAACAAGTTGTTCCGCATAACTCAGCTTATTGCAGTTGCAGCAGCTACACAAGATGTAGCAGCTCCACGAGCCACGGTTCGATAACATCCTAACGAGCTCTGTACCCTCCACCTTTTGTCTTTGCAGGCTCTCTATATCTTCGTTCGAAATACCCAATTCCACGTTACGTTCTCCTATCTGTTGGATGATCCGCGGCCTTAGAGAGTCTAGTGTGAATTTAAGATCTCTGAGGAGGGGTTTATACTGCATAGCAGTCTTGCCTATCGATATCTTAACAACATCATACAACGCTCCGAACAGCGCTCCTATGGCCGCCCCTCCAACTAAGGACAGTGCCATGATTACAACACCACCACTTTTCTGACCAGATTTCTGCCCAAAATCCGAACAGAGTGGCTGCTCCGGAGAAGCTCCGATTACAGAAACGAACAGCGGCGAAGAGATTTTGGTCAACTGAACGAACTCAGGAATCCAATCTTGGGAATGTCCCTCCCTCACTCCACCCAACAGACATTTAACGCGTGTTATCTTCTATAACCAGTTTGACTTTTTGTGGTTGTCTCTATAAGTTGAGTTTCGAGTCAAAATTCATAAGACGTTGTTTGAAGTTGTATGGCAATGCTCGCATTAAAGTGGGGGTGACCAAAAATTGGACCAACTCCTTGGGTTAAAATTCCGCCTCAAAACTTTCATCATTTGTTGGACTTAAAAATAATTTTTGGTATCTTAGTTGCCACCCAATACTTCCGCAAGGGCTCTTTTCCGATCGGGCAGCCATGATTATTAGAACTGATTTAAGGTCTGGATTTAAATTTATTTATATTTTAGTTGAGATTTATAAGTACATTGAATCCAATGATTTAACGGTAATTTGGCTAAAACAATTAAATTAAATCAAAATTCATCTACAAAATCTATTAATACCTATCTATTTGTTCAAATATCCATGCAAAATTCACTTTTCTGATACAATTCTTCCATTTTTTATTTCTACCCACTTCCAAAACTATTTGTTCTCATTTCCAAAATTTTCAAGATGTCAAGAGATCATATAGAGGACCTAATTGGTCAAATGATGAAGATGTTGCTTTGTGCTTGGCATGGGTTTGTACTAGTGAAAATGGTGTCATCGGTACAAATCAAAATAATTGGAGGCTAAAATCATTGAGAAGTTCAATTCCAACTCTAACACCAACCGAAGGGAAGGTGGTAGACTAGTAGCGTTTACAATTGATGAAAACTTATAAATAAATTGTGCACTTTATGGAAGGGAAGCTTGGAGAGAGCCATAATTGACATGGCTAGTGGAAGGAGCACCCAAGTAGCGATGAGTGTCTCCCTTCATAGTTTGTTTTTCATGGACACATCTTATTTTGCAACTATTGGTCTTTGGTTATTCCTTGCATAGGGTGGCAAATTAATGGTGATTTACAAGATAGGAATGACGCTCAAAAACCAAACTTCTAAGTTGCATCATGTTGGGGACGTCCTCGAGGATGGTCAAGGGGGAAAACCGATGCGGACCAATAAGGGCAAAAATTTTTTTCATAAAACCTCAAGCGTTAGTGTTGGCAATCAAGGCAACGATTCAGTGACCCCATCTTCTTCCATCGCAGCAGGGACGGAGCCAGAAATTTCTTCTAGTGGGGACAACCGAAAACAACTAAGAAAACCTTATTATAGTATGGTTATACACAATATGAGATTAAAGATGGTTTCAAATGACGATGTATTACAATTCTAATGTTACAAAAATTTTAATATAGTAGTGGAAAGTAGCAAAGTGATGAGAAAAATGTAAGTACATGATAGGCAGGAGAGGGTTTTTTTGGTTTGAATGATAGAACAAACATATTGCTTGTATAATATTTGATATGGTGTATAAGTAGAATGAATGTATGTTAGATATTAGATACATATATTTTCTTCAAAGATAACCCGTGTATATTATATAATTGTAGTCTGCAACTAAACAAACGAATTACTTGAGTGGGGGCATCTGCCCCCAGTAAGTCTTCATTGACTTCGTCCATGCATCACAGCCGCTCCAACTATATCCAGTGCCATAATCTACGAGGGTCGACCACCAAAAACTCTCTCTAAAGTTGTAATGGATATCAAGCGAAGTATGAAAAACAGCAAGCCTAAGGTTAAGCCTTTATATATAATTTGACCCAAAGAAAAAGGTTAAGCTTTTATAAAGGTAACAAAACCAAATTCTACTAGCCTACTAGGAACTGAAATTCCGAATCTATGTATTAACAAAACCAAATTTTACTAGCCTACTAGGAACTGAAATTCCGAAATTCCAATTAAGCCTTAGTCCAAATCCTATTAGAAATAAGTTTTTATAACAAATAGTCCTTCATGTATTGCAAAGTCGTAACTTAAGGTGTAGTCAAATTAGGACCGAGGAGGATTTTCAAAGACTCTGTTGCTATTGATCTAAATGAATTCTTATATTTTTTTTTTCCAGGCACGAAGAATAATAATAATTAAACGCCAAGCTGCCACCATCCCGCGTCTCATCATCGACATTGGTTGCAGATAGAAAATCAGTCATTGTATTCTTTGTAGTAGCCATAGCGCAAGGCGAAGAAAACTGGAGGAGGCAAGAAAATCAAGAAGGAAAAACACATGAGACGTGTTTGGAAGCCAAGAAAAATGTGAGTGAGTGATAAAAGTTGTTAGACGCACTGGCTCATGATTACATAGATGATCAGTTACACTTTTTGTTAAGGAATGAATCTTAGATTGATTAAGTAAATATTGTAAATACTTAATTAGTTATTCACTTACTTGTTTTGTATTTGACTACCTTGTTTATAGGCTTTAGTGTAGGATCCGAATTGATGGGTGACTCTATAATATTGTAACCCTAGTTTGATCAATAACAAGAAGAAATTCAGACTTTGCATTTCTTCACATGGTACCAGAGTGTTGATCTGGGAAAAACAGCAAAACACAACACGCCACCCAAGCCAACGCAGCCATGGATGACAAATCAGAAACACAGTCACATCTAAAGTGGGAAAATCCAAACCACCCACTCTACCTTCACCATTCAGACTAGCCTGGTGCAATGCTTGTATCGCAGCCATTGGTGGAAGATAATTATAGTACATGGGTTCAGTCCATGACAATGGCCTTAACGGTCAAGAACAAGCTTGGGCTCGTTGATGGCACAGTCAATAAACCAAGTGATGACAAACATGAAGAGTTGCAACAATGGAACGATGCAACAATTTGGTGAAGACATGGCTATTGGGGTTGATGTCAAAGGAAATTTCAGGAAGCGTCATCAATTGTAAGGATGCTCGACAAATGTGGCTTGATTTGCAAGAAAGATTTTCGCATGTGAATATCGTACAACTTTTTCATATAGAAAACGAAATTCACGATTGTGTACAAGGCACCATGACTGTGAGTTCTTAATTCACCAAACTGAAAAGTCTTTGAGACGAACGGGACGTCTTGTGTTCAATCCCAGCTTGTAATTGTGAAACGAAGAAGAAGATTGCTTCTTACGTGGAGACTCAGAAAACCATGAAATTTCTTATGGGTTTGAATGACTCGTATGCCACTGTTCGTGGCAACACCCTTCTTCTCGAGCTACTGCCCACGGTGAACAAAGCTTACTCTTTGGTTCTTCGTCATGAGCGTCAAGTGGAAGTTTCTAGTGGGAAAGGTGCTGCCCACCCAGAGGCAGCAGTGTTTGCCGTGAAATCCACAAGCTGGGAAGCTGAGTCCGAGGATCATGGGCCTTGATGTGGAAAGTGCAACAAGACGAACCACACCACCAAAAATTGTCGGGCGCATCTAAGGTGCACATTTTGTGGATGGAAGGGTCACACCTTTGACTTTTGTCGTAAACGGAAAGCGGCTGCTGAGGTCGAACAAGGTCGCCCTTCTAAAGGCAACCAAGTCACGACGATTGACAAAAGGGATGTGATGCCAAACTTCCCTTTCTCCCAAGAAGATTGCAAGCATATTCTACAACTGTTGAACAAGAGCAAGTCTTCTTCCTTTGCCAATCAAGTGGGTAATTCCTCAAACCATGAAGAACTTTCAGGTAAAGCCTTCTCTTTCATACATAATGGATAGAAAACAGTTTGGATTTTGGATGGTGGAGCAATAGACCACATAGTATGTAGCCCTAACTTCCTCACATCCTCGAAACCTATTGAAAACCATACTGTCGAGTTACCCAACGGATCCCTTGCTACAGTCACTCATGTTGGACAAGTTGTTTTCTCTCCCAATCTCATCCTTGACAATGTTTTATGTGCACCATTTTTTAAATGAAACTTAATATCCATTAGCAAACTACCCAATGATTCTCTATACATCACCATTTTTCTAAACCAATTTTGTGTCATACAGGACCTACGTTCGGGGAAGATGATTGGGACGGGAATTGAACGGAAGGGACTCTATTATCTCGACCCACTAAAGAAAGGAACATACAACACCGTTACAACCCTATCTTCTACATTTTGGCACCAATGCCTTGGGCATCCATCGCACAAAGTGTCCATGTTATTTCCCTTTTTGCACAATAAATCTTGTGATTAAAAAAAATGCTTTATTTGTCCATTGGCCAAACAAACAAGATCCTCATTTTCATTGAGTTCTATATCTACTAAGTCATGTTTTGAATTAATACATGTTGCTATTTGGGGTGGTTATCAAGTTGCGTCCATTTCAGGTGCCAAATATTTTGTCACCATTGTAGATGATCATACTAGGTGCACATGGGTTTATTTGATGAAACACAAATCTGATACCAAACATCTCCTTGTTCAGTTCATTCACATGGTAGAAAATTAATTCAACACTAAGGTCAAAATGATTCGAAGTGACAATGGTCCCGAATTCAAACTTGACACATTTTATACTCTCAAAGGTATCCTTCACCAAACTAGTTGCGTCAACACACCACAACAAAATAGTGTTGCTGAACGCAAACATCGACACTTGCTCAATGTTGCTCGAGCCCTACTATTTCAAGCCAATCTTCCTGAATGGTTTTGGGGGGATGCCATCCTCATTTCGGCCTATCTCATTAATCGCACACCCACACCTCTCCCTCATGGGCAAACACCATATCAAAAATTGTTTCACAAGGAACCAGCTTACACACACTTATGTGTTTTTGGCTGTTTGTGTTTTGCGTCCACCCATGCACAAAAACCTTCAAAATTTGACCCTCGTGCACGTCGTTGTATCTTTCTTGGTTATCCTTATGGACAAAAGGGTTATATGCTGTTTGATATCACTCTTCAAAAGGTTTTTATGTCACAGGATGTATCATTTTTCGAAGACCATTTTCCTTACCACACCTCAGATATTTCCGCTGCCCCTAGTTCCTTGCCCAATCTCACTTCTTCACTATCACACTTTGACATGGATGTTGCACCTCCATCCTCCTCTTTTGACACGTCTCTTATCTTGCCCTCTCATGCACGTCCAACCGAATCCCACTTTGCTCCCATGCAACATCCAACTTCCACCGATACATAACTTCCTATGCACTATTCACCATCCACCGCTACACCACTTCCCATCGACTCAACTTCAAATCATATGCCATCTTCATCTAACCCTTTCGACAACAACACCACAACCCCATAGTCATCAACCACATCACCTCCAAACCCCACCCCAGACTGCCCCGTGGCTGATGCACTGCCGGCACCACATCGCGGTACACGCCCCACCAAAATTTCCACCTTTTTGCAGGATTTTCATGTCAAGATTTCTCTCCTATCAAGACCTGATCCTTCTTCTTCTACGAATGTGATCAAGTCCTCAAGTACCTCTCACCCTCTCTTTCACTACTTATCTTACCACCGGCTATCTCTAACCTATAAAGCTTTTGTCACTAACGTCACAGCCATCCCAGAACCTACCACTTTTTTGCAGGCTGTCCAAAATCCAAATTGGCGTGCTGCCATGAAGCACGAACTTGAGGCTCTTCAGGCTAACAACACTCGGTCCCTCATTCCTCTGCCACACCACAAACGACCCATTGGTCGTAAATGGGTGTATAAGGTCAAACTGAAACCTGATGGGACTATCGAGCGGTACAAAGCATGATTAGTTGCGAAGGGCTATAGTCAAATTGAAGGTGTTGATTACCAAGAAACATTTGCTCATGTTGCCAAATTGACCACTGTTTGTGTCCTACTTAGTGTGGCTGCTGTCCATGGGTGGCACTTGCACCAACGCGATGTTAACAATGCCTTTTTACATGGTGACCTCGATGAGGAAGTTTACATGCACTTGCCTCCTGGTTTCAGCCGAAAAGGGGAGACTCGTGTATGCAAGTTACATAAATCTTTATATGGCTTAAAACAAGCTTCGAGGAAATGGTTTCTTGAACTCTCCAATGCTCTCAAGGCTGCCGGATTTCACCAATCATGGTCTGATTACTCACTATTCGTCTGAAGTCATCAAGGTAACTTCAGCGCTTTGCTAGTCTATGTTGATGATGTAATACTGGCAGGAAATAATTTGCAAGAAATTGAAGATACAAAGCGGTTTCTCTCGCAACAACTCAAATTGAAAGACTTGGGCTAACTTAAATATTTCTTGGGGATAGAGGTTGCGCGGTCCAAACATGGCATAACTTTGTGTCAACGGAAGTATGCATTGGATATATTAGATGATGCGGGGTTTTTGGGTGCCAAACCTTCAAGATTTCCCATAGAACAGAACATTTTGCTCACGGAGACAGAAGGAAAGCCGTTAATTGATGCATCACCATACAGAAGGCTTGTAGGTAGATTAATCTACTTGACCATAACAAGGCCGGACCTAGCCTATGACGTCCACATGCTGAGTCAATTCATGGAAAAGCCTCGACAACCACATCTTGAAGTAGCACACAAGGTTCTCAAGTATATCAAAGGTGAACCGGGACAGGGTATTTTTCTACCTTCCACAGGATCATTACAATTAAAGGCATTTTGTGATGCTGACTGGGCTAGATGCAAAGATACGAGGAGGTCAATAACTGGTTACTGCATTCAGCTTGGTCAAGCACCGATTTCTTGGAAAACGAAGAAACAAACCACTGTATCTTGCTCCAGTGCAAAGGCCGAATACCGTTCCATGGCCACTACATGCTGTGAGATTACTTGGTTGAAGAACATTTTAAAGGATTTGAATGTGAGTCATCCACAACCAGTCACATTGTTTTGTGACAATCAAGCAGCCATGTATATTGCTTCGAATCCGGTGTTTCATGAATGGACAAAACATATAGAAATTGATTGTCATCTGGTAAGAGAGAAGATTCAAGGGGGAATGGTTCGTACACCCTACATACGAACATCTGATCAACCAGCTGACATCTTTACCAAGCCATTGAGTTCAACACAGTTTGAAACACTACTCAGCAAGTTGGGTGTCATTAACATGCACTCCAACTTGAGGGGGAGTGTTAAGGAATGAATCTTAGATTGATTAAGTAAATATTGTAAATACTTAATTAGTTATTCACTTACTTGTTTTGTATTTGACTGCCTTGTTCATAGGCTTTAGTGTAGGATCCGAATTGCTTGGGGACTCTATATAATATTGTAACCCTAGTTTGATCAATAACAAGAAGAAATTCAGACTTTGCATTTCTTCACACTTTTCCTTACACATACAGTACAAACAATGTGATTAACCATAATTGTCTGGTTAATTTTAACTAATCACCAGATTTGCTACAAGAGTTGCAGTTAACCGTTTATCCATTTCAACTCCTTGAGCTGCCTAATGACTTCTCTTGCTTGAACTTTGAAGTGATGACATGGGAGCTGAGGAGTGTATGCTAACACTACTGGCAGGGTCTCGTACTTCAAGATCCATGAAATCCGATACTGAGCCTGGCTTTGATATATTACAGTCGTTGACATCCACCTCTCCTGTCAGCATCTTAATCACAGTTGTCATGAGTGGCCTGAGTTTCGGAGTGTCCTGGGTGCAGATGAGACCAATCTGTAAGAATCTACAAGCCTCCTCCGTGTCACAATCATTGCGCATTGATGTGTCTACCAGCCCAACAAGCGCCCTCTGTACGTAGAGTTGCCATGCCTGCAATACAAGAATAGGCACTTATCATCAACAACAATGCCTACGGTAATAGATTCGGTATCTGCTGTGCATAATTCTTTATAAACAGACGATCCACCATAGTATTAGGCAGAGTGATTTTGCTCCTTGACTCGATAGTTTATTTAACAGTCAAGAAACAGGGAAAATGAAAACAATTGCATCTACGAAAATCCCATATGGCACAACCTGAAATACATACCCTTTCAAGCAGATACGGTCCGTCAAGTTGTCTATAAGTATTACATCTGCCACTGACTATTTCCAGAAGGAGCACCCCAAAGCTATAAACATCTGCTTTCCTTGTCAATTGCCCTCGTATTGCGTACTCCGGTGCAATATAACCTCTAATACCAGAAACAAAGACGTAATTGCAAGGCAGTAAATATTTGGATTAAGATAGATCAACAAAGAGAGAACTGTTGAATTTTAAAGACACCAAAAAGAAAGAGAGACATCACAACTTACATTGTCCCTGCAACACGGGTGCTAGCATGCGTCGTGCTGGCTGGAGTAAGTCTCGCAAGACCAACATCTGAAATTTTAGGCACTAGGTCTTTATCGAGGAGAATTTTGCTTGCTTTGATGTCTCTATGGATAATATGTCGCCTTATACCCTCATGAAGGAAGGCAAGCCCACGTGCAACCCCGATGCATATTTCACGCCGTGTTTGCCAACTAAACTGGACCTGATTCTTACCTTCACCTGAAATAAAAACAGCTCATTTAAATACGATTCTCAGTAATGAACAAATTAAGCTCAGAAAAGGACTGACTCAGTTAAAATGGAAATAACACATTTGTGTAATCACTCACTCTCTTCTAAAGATCAGAAAGGAATTTCAGCTCGAGAAGGAAGGTATCTACTTACCAAAAAGAGTCTGTGCAAGACTATTATTCTCGAGGTATTCACAGACCAAAATTCTTCGGTTCCCTTCACAACAACAGCCATACAGCCTCTCTATATTTTTATGCATTATTTTTGAGACCACTTGAATCTCATTCAAAAACTCCCGCGATCCTGCAGTCCATCCATCTGAAAGAACTTTTACAGCAGCTATAGTTCCATCTTTAAGGCGTCCCTGATGATTATTCACAGAAGCAATTGAAATAGGTGTCACTAACCTTGTAGACAATTATTTACCAAATGCGGAAGCAATGGTTACAAACTCATACATTAAAAAAGTAGATGTGAACTTACCTTGTAGACAGAACCAACACTGCCTTCCCCGATTTTATTGGCTGGACCAAAATCTTCAGTTGCGTTTCTCAACTCTTTGTAGGCGTATGATTTAAAATCATAAATGGCAGAGAGTTCTGTTGCCAGGAAAAAATTATTCATAAATTTCTGATGCCATGTTAATAAAGAGCATCTTATTATAGGTACATGACGTTGTCAATGACATAACATAATAGACCAACGATACATATACCAAAATAAAATCCAAAACTAGAAACTGAAAAAGTTATCAAATGGTCCCTAAGATACTTTCTTGTGACTTGCCACATCATTTGGTTGATAAAATTTCAGGAAAATTTCTGGTTCGTCTAGTATTGATATCAAAAAACGAATATGTGCACTTGCAATAATAACCCGTCGGATTTTCACTACCTTTCACACGTTTCTGCCCATATTCGCTCCCACTTTTTCCTCTTTTTTTGGCTCTACTACTGAACCAATTGGAGAACCTTGGAGAAGTATCAGGTCTGCTACCCTGCGTATTCTCGTGGATTGTGCCAAATTCCGAGAAGACTTGTTGCGGCTCAAATGCGGTTTCAGACTCTTCCTGTTTATGAACAATCCCGCATCAGTATAGTGTTCAAAACTAGGCTTCCAAATGCACGATTTATTTAAAAGAATAAAGAATGAAGAGAATTTAGACATACCATTGAAACCATATTTGAAGAACCATGAATTTCAGTTTGATTTTGTACAACACCACTCCCTTCAATTTTCTTGGCCCCCTCCTCTAATTCCCTTGTTTTCGTCATCTTCCCTGCTCCCTGCACACTCAATACATCCAAACCAACGGTAGCCGATGGAAGTTCAACTAATGGACGCCGACTTTCTGTTTGATCATATTGTATCATACCACTCTCTTCAATTTGCTTGGTCACCGTCTCCATATTAGCTACCGAAACCAAGCTTTCTCTCGCATCCCTTGCTAGTTGCACTCTCAGTATATTTATCAATCTTTGAAGAGATTCATCTAATCCAAGAAGTTTGTTGGTATATTCATACTTTTTGTTGCTTGCCCAAAGACTAACCTTTGAGCACTTGCGAACGAGCTCTACACCCTTCTCCATCTCTACTCTAAAACTTTCAAGTTCTTCCTCTGTAAGATGCAATACCTTGTTATATTCTGCAATCTCTTCTATCAATGGCTTTATGGAGTCTAGCGTGGACTCGAGATGTCCCAGGATGCGTTTAAACATCCTCGTCTTCTCCTTCGTTTGTTGAACGGCACTAAATAGTACCTCAAACACTGCTCCTAGAGCAGCTCCTCCTCTGTTTATTGATGCCGCTTGCTGCACACCACTGCCTCCAATTTGCTCCTGCACCACTGTTTGTGCATTACTTCCTGAAAGCTCTTGCACACCCTTATCTTCCTGCTGCGCTCTCAGTATCTCCCCTGCAATTTTCAGTATTTCCGACTGCCTTGTTGCCAATTCATCTTGTTTTTCGTATATCTTCCTATTCAAAAGCAAGTTCTCCTTCATGTCCCTGGCTTCCTGCAACCTCAGCACTTCTAACAGTGCTCTAAGAGACCTATCCAATTGAATAAGTCGATCAGTGTAGCTCGGCTCCGAGCATTTGCAGCAACTGCACAAGACGTAGCAGTTCCACATGCTAAGCTTCGATAACCTGCCAACGAGCTTTATACCCTCCTCCATTTGTTGTTGGAGACGTTCTATGTCATCGTTTGGGAGACCCAGTGCCACGTTATGATCTCCTATCTCTTGTATGATCCGCGGTCGTAAACAGTCTAGTGTGAACTTGAGATCTTCAAGGAGGGGTTTGTACTGCATAACAGTCCTTCCCATCGATTCCTTTACGACATCATACAGTACTCCAAACAGTGCTCCTATCGCAGCCCCTCCAACCAAAGCCACTGCCATGATATACGAGCTTCCGAAAACTCCCTACACGCAAAAAACAGAAAACTTGTATTCGACTCGATCTAAATTGACAAACCTTATTACTGATCAGTCGGATTCAGACCAGTTTTGCTCGAATCCGCTGGCAGTTGGTGGCGGACCATAATGCGGATATGGATTTTCCTCCTGTGCCCAGCCTCCACGAAGCCTTCCCCATCCACAGGAAGATACAGATTTCGGGCTGGGTGGAAATGTTAAGCGGTTGACTGGTGTAGGAGACTGACTTCATAAATTATAAAAGTTTGCTACTTTTTTTTTTTTTTTTTTTTTTTTTTTGAAATAAATCTCACGCATTCTTTACCTAGCAAATTAACTTTGATCGAAAGTTACCTTGTACTACAGGTTACCTATAAGAATTTTTTTTTTTTTTTTTTTTTGTTTTGTTTTGTTTTTTTACTTATGAGTAAAAAATCCTAAGTTTGAATCTCAAAAATGGAAAAGGATCCTCGTTGCATCATTTTCCTAAGGATCCTGGGGATAGTGTAATCATGTATGTTTATCATTCATCGTGCAGTCAGTTTTCGTTAGATACTATTTGTATTTAATTTTAAAATTTAAAATAATTTCTGATTGCACGATGTACGATGAACGGATATGATTATATGATTCCCGAGATCCTAAGGAAAAGGATTCGGCGAGAATTACTTTCCCTAAAAAATGATGATAGTGCAACTAATTTATTATTTCATTCCCTTAGTGTAATCATATCATTGTATAAAAAAAAATATCGGATTAATTACACTAACACATCCTAAGACTTATCGAGTTTTTACAAAATTTACTCGTATTTGAAACATTGCACTAACATTCCTTGAAGTTTTAACGCTCCACAACCAGATCTTCCGTTTGCACTTCTTCTAACTGGTGAGCAAGTAAAACAACTACAAAGAGGAAGTTTAGATTTGAGTACCTGTAGTTCAAAGGATATTTACTTTTGCAGTAGAGTTCTGATTTAGAAGTAGGTGGACTTCCTTTATCCTCATTAACTATATGAAGTAGATTCCTGTAATAAATTCCTCCATCTCCTTTCATGAGGGATTTTTCAATACGATCTGTACACGGAATAGTACATTATATGTCATTATATAAATAGTAGGATATGTGTGTTAAAAAGTTAATAACTTAAAAAATAAAATTTCCCACCACTTCTAAAACACGTGGTGTACCACTTGTGTTCCCATCACAACTAAAAATTTCTTCTCCTTCTATAATGGCACACAAAGTTCAAAACACCCAATAAATTAGAACAGGGAGATTGCAGAAAAAAGTACAAAACACAAACTAGAGAAACCGAGCGCTTGGGGAAGATTAGGTTTATCAAACACAATCCCACAAGGAGAGAAAGTACATTCTTTCGTATAAACCTTTGAGTAAAAAATCTGATTATAAATTTACTAATTTCCCCATATAATTAAAGAAAAGCTCTATTTTTATTTACTAATTTCTTTATATAAATACATATAAAAAAAACAAATTAAAACGTTAAATATTAAAAAAAAAAAATTTAAATCAAACAGTCAGAGCCCTAACTGCCTCCGTCACTCTCGCTACAAATTTTCATTTTTCACCACAATCTCTTCAATCATTCACAAAAAAAGATTATAAATTTAAGGTGAATGGTAAATACACATGAAAGAATTAGGTCGGAGATTGAATTTTGATATGGATTTCGGTCACAATCTGGGTTTGGGTTAAGAAAGTAACAATAGCAATGGCTGGGGCCTAACAAATACATAAGACTTGGAAGCAGCTATTTAGCTTCCATTCAAGGTGCTTTCGGTATGTGATTCTGATTGTACAACAGAAGCAGCTCCTCCAGCTCCAAACCCAGCCGCCACGGCTTTACTAGCCTCATTCGAACCACCATCAAGATCTCTACGATTCTGCCACAACTCTAGGGAGAGAATTAGAGATAAGGATAGAGAGGCCCAGTTAGAGACAAGGCTGTAGGTGTGAAAAAAAAAGGGATGGCTTGCAGGAAGCCATGGCAAAGCAGTGGGGAAAAGGGTGCTTGATCGACAAGGAGACAGTTGGCTGCTTGGGAATTTTTTTTTTTTTTTTTATTGTTTTTTTTTTCTATTCCTTTATAAAAGTTTATTTATTTTTCATTTTCTTATGTGATCATAAGGCTAAATTTGTATCTAAAAAAATTTAGCTGAAATTTGGGTAAAAAGGGTTATGTGTAAATTAATTAAAATTTCAAAAAATGTTAATGTAATTTCTAAAAAATTTTTGTAAAATCTCGATAAGTTTAAGGGGATGTTAGTTTAATTAATCCAAAAAACCTCAGATCAAAAGTTTGGGACCCTACCCCATTAGGGATGGCCCAATGGTCGGATGAATGTTATAGGACAAAAAATATAAAATGAAAGAAAATAATTAAAAAAACCCTAGTAGTTGTATAACCGGGCAAGTCAAAGGGCCTTGCAGCCATGGAGATATATTGAGGCCTCGTTTGGCAGCTCGGACTGTACTGACTATTTTTGTCGGATAGGATAAATAACCACTGGATAATACTGACTAAATTAGTTGGGTGTTTGGTGCAGTATCAGACTAATAACCGTATTATTTATACTGTATTTGGTACTGAACCACATAAGAAAGAGGAAAAATTTTTTTTTGACAAGTTTCACATCTCAAACACTAATCATACTTCTCGTTCAAGTTGTAGAACGCATTAATCTCTATCAAAAACATCTGCCCAAATTCTCACAAACTCTTTTTCTTGCTCATGAAGATGACGAGTTTCACATCTCAAACACTGATCATACTTCTTATTCAAGTTGCCCTTCTTCCAATGTTGCTCCATCGCAGGGTTTTCTTCCCAATGGATGCCAACCTCATCACTCAAACATGCAGAGTATGCCCTCTTTCTCTTCCACTCAGTGGGTTGGGATTGAAATTCCAGAAAAGGGTTTGAAGGTTTTGGATTAAAGAATCGCAGGAATTCAAGAAAAAAGGAAATGGCCTTTGAGAGCTTCGAGTCTCAAGTATTTGACCCCAACAACAAACCCTAAATTCGAAAATTCTAATTAAAACACAAAATTACATAATCAATTGCATAATTACAAAGAAAACAATAACTAGATTCAAACAATTGAAAGAAAATTGCAAGAAAAATAGAAGGAGGGGGAAGAACAGAGGGAGGGGCGGAACCTGGGAAGAAGAAGAAGAATGAGAAGACAAACCTGGGAGTAGTGCGTCTGGAAAGGACCGGTGCGGTTGGAGAGGAAGGAGAGAGCGAGAGATTTTCTTGTACCGTATGGAGAGGAAAAGAGAGCGAGAGTGCGTTTTCAACAGGAATGAGAGAGCGATGGTGCGTTCTCAGGAAGCCGACTAAATTGTACCGTGGTTTTAGAGGGGATAAGGAAACGGGTCCTTACCATATAAAATAAGTGGGCTCGGATTATTTAATTTGGTGGCTATCTAATACGAACAAACACCAAACACCGTACTCCGTATTATTAATCTTATCCAGTGTACCAAACACGACCTGAAGGTTTAAGTAATTTTTTTTTTTTTTATCACGAAGATCATTTTCATTACATTAAAAATTAGTACAAGGCACAAAAAGAATAAGGTAGACAATTACAAACAAAGTAAAAGGCCTAAGCGGCAACCCAAGAAACAATGGAAGAGCCACACTAGCTTAGGCACAAAGGTTGTAAAAAACAAACAACAAAACCCTATTCTCCAGCAACAAAGACCACACCGCCGCTGTCGTCACATCCTTGGAAGAAGCAAAACTCTGAACCGAGAAAATAAAAATCAAATCCAAGTTCTCTTCACGAACCCCTACAAATATATACAAACAAAGTAACATATGGGTAGAGAGTGAGGTTAAGGGGTACGTAAAATACCCAACACTAGGCCTCGATGGGATCCGGTATGCTAGTTGAGGGAAAGGAAGTGAGGGAGGGAAATGAATATGGTATCCAATTTCAAATTGGAGCCCGCTGATCCAAGCACATAGTGGGATGGGGATGAAGCATCACAGCTAGGGAGAGGGGAGGAAAAGACAAAAAGCAATAAAAGTAGAGGAAAAACGCCGAATAAGGGGCTTGAAGTCTGGGATAATTGGGGGCTTGGCTTAAGGAAAATTGAGATTAAAATTAAGAGAGAACCAAGAATAAAAAAGATAGGAAGAAAACTGGAAAAGGCGAAAGGAACAAAGGACATGATATGGGAGAAAGAGAGGGAGAGGGCAAAGAAGAGAGAAATTGAGAAAACTCAGGAGAAAATCGAGAAGATAGGGGAAAGAAGGAAGGAAGGAAGGAATGAGGGGTGGATGCCTCTGGCACCCAAAGCCAAAGGCTAGGGCCAGTGACAAAAGTTATTAGAATTGTGTTTCACAGAGAAAGTTTTAAAGAGAGAAAGGGGAGACTTTTTTGAAAAAATGTGTAGTTGAGAATGTTTTTAAGTAACTTCAAAATCTCTATCGTTTTCTTAGCAGCTATTACTCTTTCACCTGCCAGAGCAAGCTATACTCTCCCCAAGAAGCCCTCCCAGCTCTACTTTGAAGTTTTTGGTTGCCTTCGTGTGTAGCTGTAGCTGCATTTGTTATAACGTAGACGCATGCTAAACAAATTGGCCATCAAAATTCTTTATGACAAAGCGAAATTTAAATAGGAAGTTTTGGGAAATAATATCTTGAAATTAATGAATCGGGCATATATGGTGTAATTGAGTGAATAATAGCAAGATACTATGTGAAATAATATCTTGCAATTATTCACCCAATTATTCCTAATTTAAATAGAAAGTTTTTGGAGTTACCTTTTGAATAAAATCAAGGTTTTTTAGCTAAAATGGTTCATGAGATTTGCCTAACTCCTCACTTTGGTTCCTAAGATTTGAAATCAATAAAAATGATCCATGAGATTGTCCACCATCAATCATTTTGGTCCTTCAGTAAAATTTATGTTAGATAAGGATTAAAATGACAAAATTACCCTCAATATAATAAGCAATATGCCAAAATGATTTAACAAAAATTGAGGTATTTTTGTCATTTTACTCTTATTTAATGGAGGTTTTTCATGGAATGACCAGAAAGATTGATTGTGGACAAACTCAAGGACCAATTCTATCGATTTCAAATCTCAGGGACCAAAGTGAGAAATCATGCAAATCTTAGAGACTATTTTTGACTAAAAAGCCTAAAATCAATAAGGGATTGATGAGGAGTGATGAGAAGGATTTGAATAAATACCATATTGATCATCTTTGACTTTTCCTTGATTGAGTCGTTATTGTCCATTGCATGCGCATGGGAATTTCGGTGTACCTCAAGGATAATTTTTTCCTTTTAATCCAAAAGTCCACATGGTATCTGCATAATTTTTTGAATTATTTTTAGCTCCACAACAATGGCAACGGCAGCTAGCGTGTAGAAAAAACCCTCACCACAGTTCAAAATCAATGCAATGTTGATGACTGAGTCAAGGAGGTTTATTGGACAAATGAGATCGTAGAGGCTAAACTTGATTTAGTGATTCTGGCGAGGAGAGGCAGAAATTGAAGAATGACAAGAGAGACAAGAGATTGTAAAATTGGAGGAGAGAGAGTGAGAGAGAGAGAGGGGCAGATATTGGAGAGAGGAGGATCAGGGAGGGAGCAGAGGTTGGTTGAGTTAAAAAACTTCAAAAACTCACGTATTGTGTTTTTAAGTTTAAGACTTGAACAAGTATTTTTATGTTTAAAAAGTTGTAGCTATTTTCGATGAGTAATGTTAGTGAAATCAAAATTTTAAAATCAAATGATATAGTTGTTGATGATTGAATTATTAATTAAGTGTCAATTAATGTACTTGTATCTTATTAGTTACACATCATTTTACATGTAAATTTAGTTTAAAAATTTAGTTTTCCTAACATTATAATGCAATTGCCAAAATTGATACTATTGCCGGTGTTGCAACTTGCATGTATTTGTAATATCCCATATAATACTGTCCAATATCAGGCCACGTTGCTCTCTAAACAGATAATGGAATTATGATTATATGCGAGAAACCTAGCCTTTAATTTATGGGGACTCAAGATGCAATCATCAGAGCTAAGAGCATCTTCTTGATGTACATAAATTTAGGGGAAAAAAAAAATTGTACCATAATAACGTGACAAATTGTCTCATAAAAAAAAAAAAATGTTTGTCGCTCTAATGAAATAAACAATTAAGTAGTCAAAATTTTATTTTATTATATGCATGATGGACCGTCTTAAACTTATATTTTTAGAGTTGCATTCAAATTCTCTCTTTTCTTTTTTTTTTTTTTTTGTTTTTATTTTTTATTTTTGTCAAAATGATAAAGTTTGTTAAATTAGATGTTAGATTAGCTATCTATGGAATTCGAAACTATGATGTCATACAAAAACTTAACTTTTTTTCACCACTGTAATACATGACCACTCGCCTTTAATTTATACAAATAATAATGTGCACGAGACACAGCCTTTAATTTATGTAAGAGTCCCAAATGTGGGCATGATAATGAATGCAAAACTATATAAATAGTGTCCGTTAAAGTCATTTCTCTCTCTTTCGGGGAGAGTCCTTCTCACTATTCTGTGAATGAACTAATTCCTCATAATTCTACTATTTTATTGAGATTAAATGATCGAAATTTCTCTAATGACTAAGTGAGCATTTTTGCTTACTATCATAAACATAAACTTTTGTGTATGCGCACCATACACCCAATCATCTGTCACGTGTCATTTCACTTAACCTTGGTTACTTTTTTTTCAAAATTGTAAAAGTAATTTTTAATATAAAGTTAACTAGAATTAAGTAAAAAAAACATGGGGCAGATAATTAGGTGAAATGACATGTCTTTAGTCTTTCCTTGTCGCCGATGACCGTAGTTGTGACTAGGGTCGATGGCAGCTATCATCACTTTACTGCTCTTCTTGCCCTTGATTTCAATAGCTTTACCCCAAATCCAAATCACCAGTTTCTTCCATCTCCCACAGTTCATCACCCCCCATCATCTTCATCAATGAGTTCCATCAAACCTAGGGTGATAAAATATAATTTATCTATAAAATTAATATAAAATATTAATATAACTTAATCATAACGATTCAAGTAAGAAAGACGAAGAAAAAGAGAAAAGAGAATCCCCTCCCACCCCCAGACACTGACGCATCTCTCCTTTACTGCTACTACGATTAAACTCTCTCTCTCTCTCTCTCTCTCTCTCTCTCTCTCTCTCTCTTCTCTAAAGTCACTCTGGCACTCTGGCACTCTGGTCAGGTACAACTCTTAATCAATCTTAATCCATCCATTTAATCTTCACATCTTCAATATCTCGTGCATTTTCAGGTGATCATCCACTGCCCATTTGATAATTAATGAAAAGGTTTCAAAATTTTCACTTTTTAAATTCTGAGTTTTATTTTTAAGCCACGAGTCATTTCCAATTATTGTGAAGTTTTACCTTGTTTCTGATCTTGTGGTGGTTTTAGAAGTTGGGTTTTTGTGCAATTATTGGCTTAACTGATCACCATTACTACTCTTAATCATTGGCTTAAGTTGTTTGATTCTTCACGTAATCACTGTCCTGTTTTGTTCTGTCAACAGAAATTGCGTACAAGATTGGTTGATATCCAAAATCATATAGACCAATATCTTTTGGTTTAAAAAGGTAAGCGTTTTGTTACTCTTGAATTTTTGTAATTTTGATTTTTTTGCTAAGAAGTTATGCTGATTGCTGGATCCTTTGTAAGGAGAGGGTCTTGATTTTGTATATTTTGGCTTTAAGGGGTCCGTTCTTGTTCTTAGTAATTTCGATTTTCGATGGCGGAATTGGTTGGGCCGAGGTTGTACAGCTGCTGCAATTGCCGAAACCATGTTGCCCTTCACGACGATGTCATTTCGAAAGCCTTTCAGGTGAACAACTTTACTTTGATGTTTGATCAAGTTGTTGTGGTTTTTCTGATTGCCGCTCATTATGCTTATTGGATAACTAACAAAAATCCGGTCTTTACAATGAAATGATTTGGTGTTTACTTTTCACTACATTTGGAGGAAATGAGGAATACAATTTTAGCCTTTTCCTAATTTGAAATGAAGATTCAGTTCATACTCAATTAACTAACGTTCGTCCGTTCTTGTTTTGACATGAATTGGTGTCTACTTTTCACTACATTTGGATTTTGGGAGTAAATGAGGGATAAAGATTTTGCCTTTTTGCATGTTGAGAATGAAATGAAGATTCAATTTGTACTCGGTTATCTATGCCAGGAGCCGAGTGGTTGTCTTGTATTTGGTTGAGAGTTTCTATTTTCTGCATTGTGTTCGTATGGTTATTGTGTGTGTAAACGACAGTCTTCAGGATTTGAGTATGATGAGAAGATTGCAAGAAACATGATTCGACTATCTATTTTATTAAATCATAGGGTAGAAATGGTCGAGCGTTTCTGTTTTCACATGCAATGAACATTACAGTCGGGCCAAAAGAAGACAGACAACTCATGACCGGTCTGCACACGGTCGCTGATGTTTCCTGCTGCGACTGCCATGAGGTGCTGGGTTGGAAGTATGAACGTGCCTATGAGCAAACACAGAAGTACAAGGAAGGGAAATTCGTTCTCGAGAAATCGAAGATAGTCAAGGAAGACTGGTAGCATCTGTGAAGGCTTTCAAGTTCATCCATCTGCATGTCAAATGTAAGTGTATGGATGCTCGTGCTTGTATTTATCTTGTCAAAGTCTTAACAATTGAAAAATTCAATTGTTGTTGTTCGTTGTGGATTCCTCTTGTGTCTGTTGTGTGAATATTGTATCTGGAACCGGCATATTACTAATTTGAATAAGATGTGAATAATTCATTCAGTAAGCTGTTTAGAAATATTCATTTGGTAACCCTCCAATGCCTCCAAAACCTCGACAGAACTGCGACCCTCGTGTGATTTGTTGGTGACAAACTTAAGATCACAACCAAAACACTTGTGCTCGTCAACAGCCTGAACCTCTAGATCTCCTTGGGTGCCAAGATCCCGAAAGTTGCTCTTATTGTTTCCCTGCTCCTTGTCGAAATGTTATACAACAGTCTCATCGGTCTTCGAGTTCTTTTAACACGTACCTATTGCTGTCAAGATTTTCCCTCACAATAAGTCTGTTAATCGCTCCCATCTCCAAAGCCTTTTGCGTGTCATCTACGCCCATGGTTAACCTCTTCAAAGTGTCTTCCTGGCAAGTTGTGCTCCTGTATAAATATCACGTTGGACAGAAACTCCGCCGGCACTTAACAGCCTGATTGAAACCATCCTCTCCTCCATAAGAAACATCAACCACTGTCAGTACTTTCGCCTGGAGGCGGGGATCAAAGTTACCTGATTCTCTAAGCTTCGATTTCAAGTCAGCTGATCAAGCCAGTACTAATCCTTTAACATTGGGCTGGTTGGTTTCTCGGCAAGCTCTGCTGTCTTCTTGACATGGTTGTCGCGCGCCTCCTGTCCCCGACAGGCAAATTGAAGATCTGGAATGTTAGAGAATATTTTTGTAGTGCTAGAGTCAGGTTGTTTTGGGCGATTTATGCAATCAGCAATGTGCCAGATTCTCGAATTTTTCATTTCCAAGAAATAAGGTAGTTCACAGCACCGTATATAAACCAACGTATATGATTGCAGCATCGTATATAAACCTTAAAGCAAATGGATGTACCAAAACCTGAAAGATAATTAAGAATAAAATGAATGTCTTGGAAAAATGCAGATATGATACACCCTAGCAGGAACACAGTACAACAATTAACCCCTGTTTTCTGTTTTGCTATCTGAAACCTTTACAGTATTGGTTGAAAATGTACGTTTATCTGATCTACACCCTTGATATCGTTGGCATCTGACGCAGTGTTCTTGGATGAATCTCTTTTATCGTTATATAGATTACAAACAAAATACAAGGACAGCCACCGGAGGAGCCGGAAGAGAGATTTCTTACGGCAGTGTCACCTGGGCGTAATGAATCTCTCCTCCTCTTCTCTTTTCTCGTACTCCATTTTCTCTTTCAAGGTAAGACTTCGCTCTTTCTTTTCTTGGTTCTTGTCTTCCATTCTCTCTTTCATAGTGAGATTTCTCGCTTTCTTATCGTCTTTTATTTCGGTCTTGGTAAGAAATTTCTCTTTCTTGTCTTCTTTGATCTCTTCCTTCGCTGGCCCAACTGATATTACCTCTGTTTTCGCAGCGATCTTTCTCAACCTAGTAGCTATTAGCGCCGGATCCAACTGCCCCGTCACTGTTAGCCTCTGGTTCTTCGCGTCCCAACTGGTCGAATGAACCCCTGCTCATCCAAATCACCCGAAAAATGAAACGGTTTCATTACATAATACTTTGTATTCGTCTCATATTGAGTGCTGTAAACAAAACTAGGCAAGAAAGATTAGAATACCCTTTATGGCGTGGACAGCTTTCATGACTTTCTTCATTGCTTTGTCACTGGCACTCACCTTCAGTTCCAACTTCTGCTGCATATATGTCTGCGTCGACTTGACAGGGTTGTCGGGCTCAAACTAAATTGAAAGAAAGAGAGCATGTTAAAGTTGGATAAGCACCTGAGCCACGTTGATAACAGTATGAACGCGTTTGCACAAACGAAAAAAACGAAGGCATGAGAATTCGTAGGTGTTCATTGCAGACTAAGAACTCACCATTGTCCCTGCATCTTTTGGAACATACGAGCTTTTATCTCTCAATGTTGATGCGGAGGAATCATGAAATTGATCCATTGGCCTGATAGCTGTTGAAACATGAGAACTTCCGTCTCCGAAGTAGGACGCGGAGGAATCAGGAAAATGAGTTATCGGGCCTTCATCATCAAATGTGATGGACGGCGGAGAAACACATATCAGGTCGTCATCATCCAGTAATTCGATGTTGTGTGCGAGGGAATGATGAGAAGGAGTCATCTCATCTTCAGCATTCAGTGGTTTCAGATAATATGGAAAACCAAATGCCGGAAATTCATACCTTGATGTCACCATAATCTTGTAATTTGGTGTTTTGAATTCATCAAACTTGTCAAGAAGGGATTCCGATCCAGGCCAAACATCATCCAAGACCAACATTGATGGGTGCAGTGCTGTTTTCATGAGAAATTGGTGCAACCAGTGAAGTGCAATTGATTCGTCTTGCAACGCAGGTATCTGGAAACCCATCTGTTGATACAGTGTTTGTACCATAATGCTCAAGTTAGGATTTTCAGAAACATGAACAAAGAAGATGTTGTTCTTGAATATATTTTTGACTTCCTCATCTTCACAGAAGAATTTTGCTAATGTGGTTTTCCCGCTTCCCCCAGGACCCGTTAGCACAACCGCTGACACCTCATCATTAAGAAGAAACCTCTTCAATCCTCTCAAAAGCACATCCATGCCAGTTGTAACCGATGGAGGTACGTATTCAGTTTCCTTGTATTCAGCGTACGGAGGTTCAGAATCAAACACGTCTTTCCCCTGAATTTGCTTGAGTCCTAGCTCTGTATGAATCCCTTGTTCCCTGCACACTGAGGTCTGCAATGTTTCCTTTGAATACCTTGTTCCCTGCACACTCGGTACATTCAATCCAACTGCTGGTGGTGTGGCTTCCACCACTTCATATGAACCTTTAATTTCACTTTGGTCGTTTTGTGATTGTACCGCACCACTCCTTTCAGTTTGACTGATCACCCTATCTATATCACCACTTAAGTCCTTTAACTGAGTGGCTGTACCATGGTGTTCAATGTAGGGAAAATGCCTACGACAACTTTGTTTGGTGTCATCAAATTCTGATAGATCATGAAATCTACAACACAACATTTAGATTCAGGACAACTAACTAAATTACTAAGACTGAAATCCAAAAACCAAACCAGACAGAAATCATAGAAGCAAAAAAATTAGCAGCACGATAATTATAAAACTAGGTTGAGAGGCCAAACCTGCTGCATTTATGGCAAAACCTTCTCTTTAGACCAGACACAATCACAAGTGGAGCCTTCGAATGAAGTTCGCACACCCTATGCCTTCTATTATACGCCTTTGCATCACTCAGATCGACTGCACACCCATCAGCTTTACAAATCACCATCCCGTCTCCACTTGCACCTGTCACAGACTCAGCTCCTTTCTTCTTCCTGTCATGATGATCTTCCACTTGCTCATCAAGTTCCTCATCTTCCTCATCCTTAAGAACATCCTTCCCCAATACCCTAAATGGCGCATCAAGTTTGGATACTTCTTTAGGCTGAATTCGCTTGAGCCCCAGCTCTACATCACTTACAGAGATCTCCTCCATACTCCTTGCTCCCACCTGCATGTTCATTGCATCCTGTCCAACTGTACGTGATGGATGTTCAGTTTTACTTTGTGCCACCCAACTCTCTTCAACTTTCTGCCACCCTACCTTTATATTCACTTCTGGATCCAATGTCTCAGTCACGTCCCTTGTTCCCTCCACACTTAGTGCATTCAATCCAACTACACTCTTAGCCATGGCTGCGGGTGTTTCACATGAACCTTTAGCTTCATTTTGTAATTTTACCACACCACTCCCTTCAATTTGATTGATCACCGCCTCTATATTGCTTACGGAAACCAAGCTCTCCCTCACATCCCTTGCTAACTGCCCTCTTAGCACAGTTAACAATCTTTGAAGCGATCCGTCCAATCCAAGAAGTTTGTTGGTATACTCATACATTTTATAGGTAGTCCAGCGACGAATCTTTGAGCAATTGCTCACAAGCTCTGCACCCTTCTCCATTTGTATTCTAACATCTTCTAATTCCTCATTTGGGAGATTCAATACCTTGCTACATTCTGCCACCTCTTCTATCAACGGCTTTACCGAGTCTAGTGTTGATTTGAGATCTCCGAGGGGGCGTTTAAGCACGGTAGTCTTGTCCTTCACTTGCATAACAGTGTCAAACAACACCCGAAACGCCGCTCCTAGAGCAGCAGCCCCTACTCCTCCACCTGACGGCGCCACTTGTTGTCCACCATTCTCTCCATTTTGTTCATTCGGTGTTGTCTCTGCACCACTTCCCGATGACTCTCCCCCGTCCCCCGACTCTTGCTGCCCTTTGAGCAAATCGGCCATTCTCCTTTCCAATTCACCTTGTTTGTCGTTGATCTTCCTAGCCAAAAGCAAGACCTCCTTCACATCCCGCGCTTCCTGTAGCTTCAGTATCTCCAACAATATTCTAAGAGACCTATCCAATTCAACAAGTTGTTCCGCATAACTCGGCTTATTGCAGTTGCAGCAGCTGCACAGGATGTAGCAGCTCCACGTGCCACGGTTCGATAACATCCTAACGAGCTCTGTACCCTCCACCATTTGTCTTTGCAGGCTCTCTATATCTTCGTTCGAAATACCCAATTCCACGTTATGTTCTCCTATCTGTTGGATGATCCGCGGCCTTAGAGAGTCTAGTGTGAATTTAAGATCTCTGAGGAGGGGTTTATACTGCATAGCAGTCTTGCCTATCGATATCTTAACGACATCATACAAGGCTCCGAACAGCGCTCCTATGGCCGCCCCTCCAACTAAGGACAGTGCCATGATTACAACACCACCACTACGAACAAGAAAATCACCTAACTTTGTATAATTGTTTGTCTTTCAATCTGAAGTCTAACCTGATCGACTGGTTTCACTTTTCTGACCAGTTTTTTGTTCAAAATCCGAACAGCGTGGCCGCCGCGTGAGTGGCTGCTGAGGCCTCCTCCTTGTTTTCCCCGGAGAAGCTCCGATTACAGAAATGAAGAGCGGCGAAGAGTTTTCGGTCAACTGAACGAACTCAGGAATCCAATCTTGGGAATGTCCCTCCCTCACGCCACTCAACAGACATTTAACGCGTTAACTTCTATAACCAGTTTGACTTTTTGTGGTTGTCTCCATAAGTTGAATTTCGAGTCAAAACTCAAAAAAGATTGTTTGAAGTAGTATGGCAATGCATGCATTAAAGTGGAGGTGACCAAAAATTGGACCAATTCCAATAGTTGGGTTAAAATTCCGCCTCAAAACTTTCATCATTTGTTGGACTTAAAATAATTTTTGGGCTTAAACTTAATTTTAGCCCATGCTAAAATATTTGTTGCCACCCAATACTTCCACAAGGGCTCTTTCTCGATCGGGCTGTCATGATGATTGGAACGTAAGTTGATTTAAGCAAGGTTTAACAAAACACTTCCGGTACTGTTTATTTTTAGCAAAAAACCATATTTATACATTTTTTGATACTATTCACTATACCTTTAAAAAGGGCTTTTCATTAAAAGATAATTTTTTTTTTACTTTTCGTTAGTTTTTCTTTGATTTAATGGTTTGGATTCAAATTTATTTATATTTTAATTGAAATTTATAAATACATTGAATCCAATGGTCTAACTGTAATAAAAAATATCTAACGACTTAAAATTAAATTCAACGGCTAAAACAATTAAATTAAATCAAAATTCATCCAAAAACACTATTAATACCTATCTATTTGTTCAAATATCCACACAAAATTCTCTTTTTTGATACAATTCTTCCATTTTTTATTTCTAACCACTTCCAAAACTATTTATTCACATTTCCAAATTTTTCAAGATGTCAAGAGATCATACATATACTATCTTGTTGGACTTTATCTCACTCACTCATAAGAACCTTTTTCTTGTCGAAGATGTTCCTAAAGATATCCTTATTCCATTTCTTGATAAGAAATTTGAATCTACCTAAGTAACTCTTAACCTTATCACAAGAGTTACCAGGCATGTCATCACTCCAAGCTTTACTCACAATATTCACAAAATTCAGATGAGTAAACCACATAGCCTCAAATTTGAACTTATTACTACCTCCAACATTAGCGTAGCACAAGGTATTAGTATCCAATAAGATTGGGCTATGATCCGAGCAAAAACTGGGATAATTATGGAGAGAGGCATTGAGGTATAAGTTTAACCAATCGGAGTTAGTAATAGCCCTCTCCAATCTTTCATAGATAATGGTGTTATCTTTATGACCATTACGCCAGGTGAAAGGCACTCCTAAAGTAGGGATTGAAATTAAATTGCCTTCACTCAAGAACTTATTAAAGTCTATCATGTGATTTGGGACACTTTTATTACCTCCAACCTCAATAAGATTAATGATATTGGCCAGGGGTTAATTTCGTTATTTGTAGGCCTTAGATTAATGATATTGTTCCACATTTGAGGTTGCAAATTTTTTTTAGGTAAGCATAAACAAAAGTACAAAAGAATTTAATGTTTGTTGGCTTATCTAAAACATCACAGTGAATAAATCTAGAGTTATGGGCATGCACATTCATATTAATATTTCGATCGTTCCAACAAAGGCATAGACCCCCTGCCCTTCCATACCCACTAGCAGAAAACACATTAGTGAACCTCTTAGACAACAAAGCATTAAGCCTTCTATCAAGGTTGGATCTAGGTTCGACAATATAATACCAAAAAAAAAAAAAAAAAAAAATCTAAAAAACATAGATAGCAAGGAAAATTAAGATGTGAGGCAAAATCAGGCCAGCCCCAGCCCCTACAGTTCCATAACAGTGACTTCATCAATCAACATCCTCCAAATTGTAGCTAGGACCCGTTCCACCTTTAACCTCACTTCTAACCCTATTCCTATTACCTCCAGCTTGAACTTCCTCAGTTTCCATAAAGACCTCATCAGTATCCAGATCAGTGACTTCTTTAACTCCCTTACCTTTACTTCCACTACCGATAGCCTTCTTTGTAATACCCTGAAAATTAAATATATGAATATGTGGAGAAAAAATAAAAAATAAATTGATTTATGAGTATGAAAAATTGAATTGAGAACTTTTAAAAAAAATTTTCCTGAAATTATTGTATATTACGTCGTAAAATTTATTGTTCAAGTTGAAAAGATGAAAATGCCCCTAGTACGCTAAATTGAATTATTCGAGGACATATTTTATCCTCATAGATTGTATCATATTTCTTGACATATTTGGATAGAGGACGATTCCACGAGTGCGTAGGCACAAACCGTTCGTGAAACAGAGTTATAACGAAAGAGTTATTAACATTTAAAGTAAGGGACATTTTTGTAATTTTGTCCTCATTTAGAAGGCTCCAGATTTTTGGAGCAATGAAATGTGCCACGTGTGTGGCTGGGATGAAAGGAAAAGAAGAGAAAGAAGAGAGATGGACGGTCGAGATGGAAATGAGAGAAATGAGGGAAAGGATGGGGGAAATGGCCCAATCAGAAAAGAAAGAAATGAGGGGAAATGAGAGAAAGAGGAAACGGGGGATCCTCGACCCACATCCCTTGCGACCCAACCCAGCGGTGCAGTTTTCTGACGCCAAACACGGCGTTTCACAGCAAATCGCCGCCATCCATCACTTGGAAACAACTCCCTAGCCTCCCCTATACCAATTCCACACCAAAACTCAAAGATATTTGGCCTTGAATTCGGGAAAACCGCACCAGTGGGTGCGGGGGTTCTTGCCATCGATCCTCCAAATTCTAAAGCAATTTCCTTCAACCACCACCACTAATAGACTCCCATCAACCTCAGGAACAAAGACTATGCATTGGTTGGGTCAATGGAGCTGTATTGGAGTCAAATCAAGAACACCCAAATATCAAGGGTTTCCGGCGGTTCGTGGGCAATTTGAGGTGTTTCCCGGCCAAATTGGACTTGGCCTCAGTATAAAAATTGCTCTACTCATTGGGATCAACATTTATGTGAAATTTGGTAATTTTTGGAAATAATTGAATTTTTCGGTGAGTCGGGATGGCCGACCGCCACCCGCGGCGACACATGGCTAGTGGGCCGACACTGCCTTTTTTCATGAAAATTTTGATATTTTAGGTCTGTAATTGGTACCCATTTGATGTGATTCAATTGTGAAAGCTAATGTTGAATGTGGCCGATACTAGAATATTTTCATAAATGGATAAAAGAATGAAATGTGAACTACGAAAGGTTTGATCATGTTCAAGAGTACGTAGGCAGTCTAACAGGGTTAGATACAACCTTAAATAATTGAGAATTAATCTTTAGAGTGGAATTTGATCTAAGAGAAGAAAATGGTGAGAAATTGAGAATATAATCGTATGTTTTGGTAAGAGAATTATGGTTAAAGATCATGTGTGGAATTAAGGAATTTAATTAAAGAATCGCGATTAATGGTAGTTAAATAAACAAGAGTTTAGTTTGGGCCTATCACCGATATTAATTTCCGAAATAAATATTTTCGGGTGGGCCGTTACATTCTCAGTCATCACAATCCTTTCTCCAACATTGCCAGTTCCGAACCCACTATCAGCTTGAGGACACCACTTAGAAACAAGATCAGCCTATGATGCCCAAATTCTAATACCTAGTACAACATTCTCATAGCTTCTGCCATCCATATGACTAGAACTCCTGCCTCTACTAGCACTTTTGCTTCCTCTAACTGGGACTGAATTCCACCCTTCCTCATCCTCGGCTTGCTCCTGGAAATTTTCACCCCTCACTAGTGTTTCGCCCTCAACAGAACCCAACTTATCAGCTAGAGTAGGTTGGGGAAATAACATCATAACACCATCATGAAGCTCACTATTGGTTTCATCATTCACTGGGAAATCAGCAAGGCAACCAGAGGTTCATCCTCAAAGATTCTATCCACAAGGAGACAACCATCATTATCATAGTTAGCAGGGCAAGAATGTTTATCAGTCATATTTCTTCTGCAATAGAAACAGACTTTAAAAAGTTTCTCATAGCTCAGTAGCAATAGGCATTCTTCATCATTTACAACTAGGATTCTCTTCAGGGGCAACATCAGATCTACTTTGAGAAAAACTCTAACAAACAAGCCATTGAGCCCCGAGAGGGTAGTCTCATTCGCTCAGACAAAGCTACCCACAGGTTGCGTAATAACCTCTAAAATCTCAGCATCATGGTATTGGACCGGAACTTTGTGAATCCTAATCTAAACCCTCAAATTAGAGATAAGGTATGTATCTCTAAAATGAACATTTCACCTTTCCATATGGAAGATCTGACCCCGAACATACTAGGGCCTATTGTCTAAGGTAAACTCCAACTCTTTCTCATCAGTAAACTTAATAGTATACCACATATGCCCAAAGTGGTCCAAATAAAATGGATTCTTAACTCTAGTACCCCAAGTTAACCCCAACTTCCAAGTTAACCCCAACTTCCACTAAATGGTCCTAGCATCCAATTACTTACCCACTAACTTACCCCATGAGCACTCAACTTTCCATGTACTCAACATTCAGGTTTGAATAAAGGCTGGTAAACACTCTAGTAATACCACTCTCCATGGTGAAGGTACCACGAGCACCATTAACCACAATTGGGGGTTGACTAAGGAGGGGATTGGCAAACTTGTTGGCCCAAGCAGGGATTCTAGGGTTGGTGGGAATTCTAGCATGCTTAGAAGAGGAAGCTCCAAGTTGGGAAATGACAGTCATGGTTAAGGTACTAAAGCTCTGAGGGGGAGTCAAGGATGATAAGTAAAGACTAAAACTAATCAACCAACGCCTAGAAATACTAATGGCAAAGCTATTAAGATGATTCCAGGAATACAAAGTGGGCAAACCCATAAAGCAAAGGGACATACACAAGCATTTAGAGATAATTAACACCCTACAAAACCTAAACCTAATCCAGACAATAGAGAAAGCATGCATGCTCTCGAAAAACTTGGGAAACCAAGACACTCTAAACCAACAACTAATATTTAAGCAATCATGATTAAGTCTAGAGATTAAAATCATATTCATATCAAAAAGACTGTTTAGCTTCCAACATGTGTTATAATTATCTCCGCCCAAAATGAACCAATGATAATCGAAACATACCTTGCACGCTCAGGTTATCAGGTCATCAATTATACAACAACAAACGATAGCTAGCATCACCTCCCAACTCACCTGCCATGGGTAATTCCCTCATCTCTTGATCTTCTCATTATGAATTAGCACACCACACTCTCCTCTTTTAACATAATGATGAGGATTATCCTCCCGAGACAAGGACTTATCAAAACATGCGAAATCTCGAGCCTTATCAAAATGACTAAATCCTAATTTCTTTTGATCCCTAATTGAAATTTCTCTCCCCTATGTTATCCAACTAGTTAACCAATTAACTACAACCCAAATGAAATTTGCAAAGAGATTCTGATTAACCAAGTGGATTGATTGCAACTGGGTGAACCCTAACCCTAGAAATTTCCCCCTTTTTCCCTTCTCGACTCTCATTCTCTCCCTATATTCTTGCTGCAATACTTACATATATTTAATACAACATCATCTAATTGTCAGAATAATTCATGTGAATTGCAACAGATGCTATTCTTGGACCTTGGTTCCAAGGAAGAAGAGAAAATGACTTTTTCTCTCCATTTTCCACGTGATCAACTCTTTCTTTTTTTTTTTCTTTTTTTTTTTTAATTATTGTCCAATCAGATTGTGTCACTTAGCATTTAATTAATAAAGGAATGATATATTATTCAACCAATACTTTTTAGGGGCAATTTGATCCAGGTCCAAAGAATTCACCAGTTTTCAGATTGGGTCCAATTTTATTTGATTTTTTATTACACCTAATTTGCCCCTTGAAAATAAAAAATATTTAAATTCTTTATTTTTGAATTTAAAATTTTAAAAATTTGAAGCTTCAAATACCTTTATCTACCCGTTTTCTAATTAAAAACAGTTTAAAAACACATTACAACCAATCTTATAAGTTTATGAAAAATTAAAAGAAACGTTGTCGAGGTACATAAAAAATTTGTGATGTAGGTAGATAATATTAATTAATCTATGATATAGGTAGACTATGAATAAAAGCCTATCGTATAGATAGATAACACAAAATAATATGTGATATATAGATAGACTAATGAGCAAAAACATATCGTATAGGTAGATAACACAATTAATTTGAGATAGAAAAATTTGTGATATATAGGTAGATAAAATACAATTAATCTATAACACATGTAGAATAAACAAAATATACAAATAGATTCATTACAAAAATATATAATACAGGTAGATAAACAAAGCAATGCATTTCCTATAAAGGTTGAAAAGAAAAATATGTATAATCCAAGTTCAAACTAAAAATTAGGAAGAAATTAATAGTGCACGCATGAAACTCATTTTCATGGCAATGTTCCCAATCAAAATGACCTAACTAGTGCTATTGTGGGAGGACCTGGTGGGGATGAAAAGTAGGAAGATGCAAGATTTGATGCTACAAAACCAAAACCAACCACGTACATCAACCCACCTTTTGTTGGTGTATTCGCATACTTCAAAGTTCTATACAACCGAAAAAAATTAGAAATTGTTACCTTGTATTTCAAAAAGGAGGAAGAAATCATAAGAGCTTGAAAGAAGAAGAATGAACAAGAAGGAAGGGGATCGGAGAACACAGCACAAATTGTATACGAGAGTTATGGAAGAAGAGATATACTTTAAAACTAATTCTACAAGTAGGGGATTATTTAAAGATAAATAATCAATTATACTACTTTATACCTATAAAGCAGATATATTCTACTTACTCTATATAAAGACAAAATTACTTTCTACGTCTACCTATGTATTAGGTATATAAACAAAATAAATAAAGTGCATTTGCTATAACGTTTTTACTTATAAAAAGAAAAGTTCATATAAACAAACAAAAAACTAAGAAAGAAATTAATAGTGAGAGCCTACAATTATATGTACACATCAACACCCACGGTTATGGTTTAGAAGGCTTTCTTCCTAGCCCTGTGGTTAAATGTTCCAGCATGAACACACATGGTTATGGGTTCCAAGGAGGAAGAAGATCACCACGCATAAAAAATAATACTGTTTGTAGGGGAGTTATGAGGAAGAAGAGATAATATTATTTCAAACTAATCCTACAATTATGGGATTACTTTAATGATAAATAATCAATTATAATTAATTTTATAATACAAGTAAATCTAGAATTAAAAGATAATGTTAATAGAGGGGTAATTTTGACAAAAAATGATAATAAAATGACGTGGACAATGAGTCACTGGACTTAAACCAATAATTAAATAAAATTGGACTATATCTAGTAATTGCTTACAAATTTGGACTTATTTCAAGTTTCCCCTACTTTTTATACCACATGTTTGTCATAGTTATTTCTTTTAAATTTCACATAAATTGATATGATCTCTGAAAAAATTTAGTAAAGTACGACCGACTCGTAATCACTTAAACTTTCATCTAATACCATTAAATTCACTAAAATACTAAAGCGAAAATTTTTGATATTTTTGTATGTTATATGTTATATAATAAACTTAATTAAAATAATAAACCCAAATTTTCAATACAAATATAAGTTTAAGTCTAAATAGACACTCATTTTTAATGATATATATAATTAATTTGCTTTATCTAAGACCTTCCAACATGTACGCACCCAATCTTTGCATTGGCTCCCCAGAGACCGACACCATTTTCTCCAAAGCTTCAACTAAAATTGTTGCCGAGGGTAGACCATCTAAGGCTACTGCACGCATGAGAACATCTTTTAGGTCTAACCTGGGTATCATTTCAGCTATTCCAGACTTAACTCCCGTTATCTCTGTTGATAAAGTCGCCTTTCTTGAGAATTTGTTGAAACAAGATGAGTGCCGTCCTTGGCGCTTCAGTGTCTCCATACTGTTGAATCAGACGTCTCCTTCACATCCATTGGTCCCTGTCCATCCAATCCAACTGCAAACAACGGAGGTTCAATCCCTTCACAATAACCTTTAATTGCAATCTGATCTTGTACCACAACATTCCCTTCATTTAGCAACTCTTGCTCTGATTCAACCAGTGTCTTTTTTATGGCATCCTCTGTTGCATGCACGTCTAATACATCTAATCCGCCTAGTAAAGATTGAGATTGGTATTCGGAAGCACTTTCTTTTGGAGCACTATAAATGTCACTATAGCGTGCTGCAGGAACATCGTGGTTGTGTTTCCCTTCATATGTGGTGATCACGGACCTTGAGTCATGCGGTGATCGCTCCACATGTTTCCTCACCGGACAACCTGTATACGTGCATTTGTAGTAGGCCCTACAGATTGGAAAACAGTTGAAAAGGATAAGCAGCCGAGTTGGGGAAGTGTTTGCTTGTAATGAAAGGAATCTACCAAGGAAAGCTAAACAGACTTACAAGGTTGCAATACTATTTAAGCAACTAAAAGTGTTAAAGACCTAGAGTGTGTACCTTGGAAGAAAATTCCCCTTCATTACTTTCTGTCCATATTTCCTCCACCTATATCCATCATCCACAAGATCAATTTCACTTACTGTCTGCACCACAGTTCTTGGTTCTTTTACAATGCTACTCCCAGAAGCAGAAAAGGTATGAGTTGTCTGATCATTTGCATTTCCTACATCCCTGCAAAAGAAGGAAAAAAAAACCCATTACCGCATATGCAATTTTGGCTATCATATGACATATACAGTCCTAACCAGAATCGTCTGAGATTACCATTCTTTGGCGACGGGCTCATTTTCATCTTGAACTCCTGAATTACTGATTGGAGAATTTTGTTCCAAATCATCTGGCATCTTGGCTGATTCAACTTTTGGGTTGGATATTTTTGGGGCCAATTGATCAGAGAGTCCGTATGAAGAACCCTGAATTGGTCGAGAGGTTGATTGTCTTGTAGACTGGGGCTTAGGATGGTTGTGACTTCCCTTGTATACGATTTCAGTAATCTCTCCATTCAATGATCTCTCAACCTTTTTCTTTGTTGGGCAATTGTGATATGTACACTTGTAATAACTACGCGGATATTTACTACCTTCCACTTGTCTTTGCCCATACTTTCTCCAGTTAAACCCATCATCAGACTTTAGTTGGCTAACATGCTGAGACGATTGAGTTCTATGTATGTAGTCAGGCTCTGAAGCATCGTCATGTTGCCTACTCCGTAAATATGCAATGCCCGTGAGAATGTCTGGGCAGAAACCTGGTCGTGATTCTGGCTCAAATTCAATTTCAGACTCAAGTCCTGCCTTCTCTGTTGGCAAATTAAAGTACTTGTTGAAATTCAGTGCCTCTGCCTGTTCATGAAAAATGATATGGTCTCAGAATAAGGTTCAAAACTAGGCTTTTGACTGCACAGTTAAAAGGATAAGAGAATGCATGAATTTAGTCATACCAAAGAGTTTTGCTGCTGCTGCCAGTCTATTACTTGCTGGTTGTCTTCGAAGCTACTCATTGAATCTAAGAGCCCAAATTGGAAGCTTGAATCATTAAGCGATGGAAGTTCATATACAGAAACTGGAGCTTGGAGTGCAACCGCTCCTATCCCTTGAATTTGCTGATCATCCCTTGTTCCCTGCATGTTCGCTACTTCCAATCCATCTCGAAGCGACTGGGGTTCAGTTACTGCAATATCAATTTGATTTTTCACCACACCACTCTCCTCGATTTGCTTGACCCCTGCCTCCATATTCGTTGTGGAATCTGATGTCTCCTCCACATTTATTGTTCCCTGCAGATTCAGTACATCCAATCCAACTTTCGGTGATGGTGGTTCTACAACTTCATACAAACCTTTGATTCCGTTTTGATCTTTTAACACACCACTCCCTTCAATTAGCTTGACGCCTTCTACTATTTTCCTTGCTGCAACCGATGCCTCCTTGATCACATCGCCTCTCTCATGCACATTCAGTACATCCAATCCAACTGTAGTGGATGTAGGTTCAGGCAGGGGACACAAACCTTTGCCTGCAACCTCATCATTTTGTACCACATCATGCCCTGCAATGTGCTCGATCACCTTCTCCATGTTACTTACGGAAACCAAACTCTCTCTCACATCCCTTGCTAACTGCACTCTCAGTATATGTAACAATCTTTGAAGAGATTCGTCCAACCCAAGAAGTTTGTTTGAATATTCATATTTTTTGTAGCTAGCCCACCGATGAACCTTAGAGCACTTGACAACTAGCTCTACACCTTTCTCCATTTCTATTCTAAAATTCTCTAGTTCCTCCTTTGGGAGATGCAGTACCCTGTTACATTTGGCTACCTCTTCTATCAACGGTTTTAAGGAGTCTAGTGTGGATTTGAGATATCCAAGGACGCGCTTAAACATCCTAGTGTTGTCCTTCACTTGTATAACAGCACCAAAGAGCACAGAAAACGCTGCTCCTAGAGCAGCCCCTTGCACACTATTCCCTTCAACTCGGTCCTGCACCATCGTCTGCGTGTTACTTGCTGAAAGCTCTCCCACAGTCGTTTCATGTTGCGCTGTCAACCCTGCCTCCTGCTGCACTATGAGCAAATCCGACATCTTTTTATCCAACTCATCTTGCTTGTCGTGGATTTTCCTTGCCAGAAGCAAGGCCTCCTTCACATCCCTTGCTTCCTGCAGCTTCAGTATCTCTAACAGTATTCTTAATGACCTATCCAATTCAACAAGTTGATCCGTGTAACTTGGCTTTGTGCAGTTGCAGCAACTGCACCAGATATTGCAGTTCCACATACCAACGTGTGATAGCTTCCTAACCAGCTCTATACCCTCCTCCATTTGTCTCTGAAGGCCCTCTATTTCGTCGTTTGGAAGACCCAATTGCACGTTATGATCTCCGATCTGTTGGATGATCCGCGGTCTTAGGGAATCTAGTGTGAATTTGAGATCTCCAAGTAAGGGTCTATACTGCATAGCAGTCTTTCCCACGGCCACCTTAACCACATCATAGAGAGCTCCAAACAGTGCTCCAACAACAGCCCCTCCAACTAAAGCCAGTGCCATGATCTACTAGTTTAAATAACAAAACTTGTATTCACTTCAATTCAAAGTTTACGTACCTCTGTACCATTAAGCGAGATTCGGACTAGTTTCACTCAAATCCGGTGGGGGGTTGGTAGCTGTTGATGGAGCCATGATGAATGTTCCTCCCGTTCGGGAGAGACCCCGAGCCTCCCTGGATCACGTCCTCGTTTGTGAAGGCTCAGGTGAAGCAGAAATGAACAAGAGGGTGAGAGGAGGAAAGTAAAAACTAGCTGAAAGTCGGTCAACTGGGGTTTCTGCTTCTTATATTCGTCCAAGTGTCCAAATATATATGTACACATTATCTCTCTCATGTGGATTATTGTCGAAAATATGAAAGTATTAGCACAGGCCGTCACTTTTTTGCATCATATTTTTTTTTTTTTTAGTAAGCAATGGAACAAAGAAATACATTATTAGGAACCGTAAAACCAAATGTATGAACCAAATCGACACATAAAAACACGGGCATGATTCGCTTCGCCACATTTCTTGACGAAAAAACAATTACAAGTACAAAACGAATTAAAAAGACGAAAGAGAACACTAAACAGTACATCAATTAACAGCTATTTTCTTTTTCGCTATCCACCTCTTCTTTGCACTCTGAATTTCTTCCTCCCTCAACCTCAAGAGCTCGAGAAGGCATCGATGGTACTGCCTATCAATAGCAACAAGCTCCCCCTTTTGCTCATTGTATCGATCTTTATTTGCTAGAGACAGCTCAGATAAGGAACAAATGCTTGACATGTCGGGGCGTACCTCATTCATCACAACTGAATCACCAGAATCAGCTTCGTAACTCTTCTCCCTGACCGCACCCTGAACCATACAATCAGGACCGGAACCGTAACCATCCGAAGCTTTACAGCATTCATCAGAACTGTATTTAGCCGACTCCATAACTTTGACATTACTGGCACCTGAGGCAGTAGGGACACCATACTCAGCTGAGGTAGCCGAAGTATCTAAAATCATTGATGCTTGGTTATCTCTGTCCTCCGCATGTGCAAAATGTGAGACAACATTTTGCCGTGCAGGCTGATCCCCACACGAACTATTTGTTCCACATGATGAACCTTCTGATGAAGGTTTCCAGCCAGGTACTAGCTTCATGATCAAGTTATCAATTAACTCCGCTATGACAGAGACATCTTCATGCGAAAGATCAAGTTGCTCAACCATCTCCCCAGCAATTGAAATTGAGGTATCAGACTCCAGATAGAACTCAAAATGGATATTCCTCACACGACCTGTATAAACAAATAATATTCAGGTGTAGTTCAGGAAAATAAGGGGAGGAAGAAAATCTTTTTGCACCGCAGATGTACTTACCACATGTATCAGCAATGCGCAAAGTTAATGAGACGGTGTTATCAGCATTTTTGGTTGCTCTTAACCTGAACTCATTATTCTCAGTTAAACTCTGTAACTCCAGAACTGAAGGGTTAGAATTTTCATTGGGACTTCTTCCACAAGATCCAACAGGGCACTTCTGGTAGTTAGTATCTATGTCCATAGGACGAGCTTCAGGGTGTGGCAAGTTCACCATCTTTTCTGACTGTAAAATAACACAATTCGGCTCCTTCAAATCGTCAGGTGCAAGGAATGGATCTTTCAAGAGTTCCACCGCACTCAATCTCATAGATGCTGGAACTAGACACTTCTCTATGAACTCCTTGACTTGAGGATTGTCCACTTTATTGAGTGAAGCGGGCTTTACACCCTACAACAAAGGAATTCAGGAGAAACATTAGACAACCATTTAGTAGGAGAAAAAAAAAAAAACTGGAGAGAAATTCATAAATCAGTTGATCAGAAACTTACAGAGGTAACCTTCTTATAAATTTGTGCCGGATTTTTACATTCACTATAAGGGTATTCACAAGTAACCATTTCTAACATGCACATGCCAAAAGAATAGATGTCGACTAATTCATTGTATTCCTCGTCATAAAGCTCTGGAGCCATGAATTCAGGGGTGCCAATAACACTATGAGCAGTAGGCTGCTGCATGACTATCGCCAATCCAAGATCTCCGATTTTAATTTCTCCAGTATTTCCATTGACAAAAATGTTGTCACATTTCAAATCTCTATGAATAATTGGAGGATTGTGAGAATGCAGATAGTGCAATCCTCGAAGAATCTGCCTTGCCCAGTTCTTAATGGCCTTCATATCGACATTTTTATGCTTCTGTCGATACCTTAATCCCAGAACAAAAACAGTTAGCATTTGAAGAAGGTACGCCAAGTAAAAACATGAAACATGAAAAAAAGTCAGCAAAACTAACTGCCTCAAAGTCCCAGAAGTGAACAGCTCTGTTATTATGTTGATGGTCCTGTTCTTATCATCCACCCAGGAGTTATGGAACTTCACAATGTTTTGATGTTTTAACGACTTCAGCAGATGAACCTCGGAATACAATCTCTCCAGTTGTTCCGGAGACTGCAACACCTCCTTGATATTCACTTGGCACCAGGCTACTTCTATTCCTTCTTCCTTATCGAATGCCTTGTATCTACATTTTGCACAACATCCAAATAAGTAAACAAATAATTTTGCAACATCAAATCGTTAGAACCCTAGAAACCAACTACCAAGAAACGAATTCAAGGTGGTTAGAGAAGCATACGCAATCTTGAATGCTCCCCTCCCCAGTAATTCGTCATACTGGATGAACAAACACAAATCTACATAAGAATTATATCACCAAAACCAACAAGAAGCAAGCAAAGATGACCGAAAACACATTCAACAAACACCGATAAAATTTACATTAAAATACAATTGAAATACCAAATTAAAGAGCAAACAAAATCCGGAACCGTACCCGCAAGTATTGCCCAGTCGGATCTTTCTCTACAACGCCACCATCGTCGCAACCAGAATTCCCACCAACAAAACCACTACAGGAATCCATAACCCTAAAAACACAAAAAAATCTCCCGAAAGAAGCAAACTTTTTTTTTAAGACGGAAACGATTCTTCACAAACCTTTCAAAAGCTTCTTGCGCTCAACAACCCCAACCGGAATCAGATTACAATAGTGTTCAGAAAACGCCTCGCAAGCGACGGAGTACGAGTCGAACGCCAAACGAAGACGAAAGCGGCAGCCGATAAACCACATGTTCCCGAATTCCGTCCCTGAATTCCGGTTCGCGACGGAGCTCCACATTGTCAAAGCTATCCGAGACTCAGCCATGGTGCTATCTGCATTTTTCCAGCTGGAGAGGCGAAATTGGGGACTCTCAGAACCCTAAAGAGTGCAGAAATGGAGCTGCGGAGAGAGCGAGAGCGATTGGAGATGGAACCCTAGGGATTGCGATTGGGAGGAGAGGGGTAAATGTAGGGTTGGGTGGGGCATCGTGATGGTGTTGGATTGGGATTTCTAGGGATTTTGATTTTTGGATCGGAAGAGTTGTTCCGGTGGAGTCCTTTTCTCCCTCTATGATTAGAAGGTACACGCTGTTCTTCTCGACTTCTACTTGGAAACTAATTTAATTATTTAATTTTGGATTTTAAATTTAATTAATTTAACTTTAATTTAATTTAGGAATTAGGAGGTTGATTAGGGAAAGACAATTCAGCTCGGAGCGTATTAGTAAAATTAATCTACTGATCAGCAAAAATATTAGCAAATTAATCTTTGATTTAATTAATCACGGTGTCCTGAAAAGGCTGGAAAAGTTGAAACTGGAGTTCTGGTAAAATATTAAAATTTATATATATATTTTTTTTCAATTTTTTCGTATATTTGTTCTACTTTTTATTTATTCGGAAACTAAGTACTAGGATTCTTTCACAATCTTTGCACGCCACATGTTTGTGTTTATGTTACAGATATGTAGTGCACTATTTACGTGTTATAATAAGAGTAAAGACATAATTAAATGTCTAAATTGTAAAGTATATTAATAAAGGCAATCAAATTTACATGTTATTATTTAAGTAAAACAGTACTATCACATGATTGTGTTTCAGGTATATTAAAAAACGTTGATACTACACAACTATTTCAGAAACATATATTGATAAAAAATTCAAATAAATTTAAGAAATTTGACAAGAAAAGGGAAATGGCGGGGAAGGGGATGACATAAAGAGGTGTTACTAACTTTTGTAGTGAGGAAATTAATTCGATTTTTGAATATTACGAATTTAATAGAATCAAAATTTGGTGTTGTCACAAATCTTGTTGCTTTGGGAAAGCGAAGGAATAAAGGAGGTAAGATTAAAGTCTAATGGAGAAAGGATCAAAAGACAACAAGGCTTTTTGGTTTTATTCCTAATTTCTGCTGTAATATTTCAAAAGACGAAATGTAATTTGAACTTAAATTCTTGGTGTGGTGTATGTGTAGTACTACATTTGTGCTCTTTCAACGTCTTGGAACGCAACAAATGTATCGACCATACAAAGAAGCTAGAATCAACATAAGAGATTTAAGATTTTCAACAAAGAAACAAGTTATATATCACGACATTTCCAACCATGTTATCCACAGCCACAACCTTTCCAACTATATGGCAACTTTCGGTTAAGTAAAAGCATAATTTTAGTGTTTTTTTTTTTTTTTAATCATGTATCGACATATGAAATTTTTACATCTAACGGTCTGGATGATTCAAAACCACAATGTGCGCATTACATTTCAATTATTTATCTACTTGGCACAATTTAAGTACAGTGTTGAAATGTACCCACAATTTTCATGGAGCATGGTGCACAACCACTACGTCCTTAACCACGTAAGATAGGGGTAAAGTTATGATGATTAGAGTATAGTAATCACGTCAATCGAAGGTCTCCAATTCAAGTCACGTCAATCAAATATCTCCGGTTCAAGTCTGGCCAACGTTGACGATGTTTGCCGGTGGCTTAGTTGTGCTCAACGAACCGTTAGATCCACGGAGTTAGGTTGATTACGAAATTTAAATTACGAACAATGAACCGTTAGGACAACAAAGTCGACATAATTCTGTCGACATATGTCGTTCGTAGTCGTACTGATGCATTGTAAACTTGGTTCTTGCCCGGCACTCATCTCAGAAGTTTGAAATTCAACAGCTCTATCAAGAAACGAAAAGGGAGGGAGGGGGCAGCATCACAAAGTAATCATTAATCACATCAAACAGAGAAACGAGTGGAAGAGCTTATTTAGATTTTCAAGTCTATATAGTCAGTATCGTTATTTCAATCCGCTTCCATTTTAGGGGCCGCGTGTTTGAAAGAATTTGCAACGAAAACAAACTACACGTCCACATATCATCAACGTCATCTACCTTTAACTCGTCACATCGTTCTAAATAAATCGACATAGTTGCTATGTATAGAGGTGCAAAAATAAATTAAACCCTAGTTGCAGTTTGCAGGAATCATCTCTACTGAATTTTGATAACAAACCACGATGCGTGCATTAAAGTTCTCTAAGCATTCAGCTCCAGAAAAAGACTGGCCTGTGGATGCAATCCTGCTTCTTTCAAGGATAAAGACAACTTCTCTGGTCCGTATACGACTCGAGGGAAGTTCGACACCAAACTGTAGTTCTCAGCGTCTAGACAACCCAAAGAATCAACAAAATCATAGAGATTTTGGATTAATGCAGTGCTGTGGAATCTCCTTTCCTTGCGTTGTCCAGTTGGGAACCGAACCACAACCTGGGTTATCAAATAAAAATATAACCATGCGTCGATTAGGTTAAATAACTAGTATCTCGAACAAAACAAGGAATACTGGGATTTGCGACCAGTATAAAAGTTGCATAGAATGTCCATGAATGATATCTAAACATACTGAACTGAATGTGTGAACGTATCATAGAAGTTATCTGAAACACCTATACATTCAAAACGTACAAGAAAATAACAAGAGAAAATTTAAGTCATAATGCAAGAGGGATTACCTGTGTAACATCAGGTCCTTTTTCAGGTTCGGCACCAAGTGACAAGGCTTTTTCCTGCCGCATCCTAGCTAGTGCAGCCTCTTTCTCCGCAGCTTCCTGTGCTGCTCTTTCACGAGCCTCCTCTTCCTCCTGGCGCTTCTGCTCAGCTTCAGCAGCTTCTCTTTCTAGACATTCTTGCTCTTCCCTCCTCTGGTTTTCCCTCGCCTGAAGCAAACGAACATAACAATGAGGGAATGAGAAAAGACCAACCTAAGAGCTTCCTAAAACCTATAGCCTTTGTTTGTCACATGAAATTAGGTTAAAATATTAACATACCTGATCAGCTTCGAGTGCTGCTCTATAAGCAGCATCTTGCTCCTCCCTTAAACGAATGTTCATTCTCCTTTCTTCTGCCTCATGCCTTGCTGTACCAAGAACAGAAGCACTTTCTTCGACCACTCTATTTAGTATTGAGAGCATTTCTTCCGGAGACTTTGGCCCCTCAACCTGCCAAATATGACAAAGATAGTCGTTACAGACAAAATGAACAACAAAATTAGACATCATTCATACTTAGTTACCATACAGTTGACACGGAAAATCGGGAAATATGGAAAAGAAATAGAACATCGAAATCAATCTAATACTCTAGAAAGAAAAACTTCAAGTTCAGGATGCATCACTTAAAGAGGAAAACACATTCAAGGTAGGGTATAAAACAAAATGCTCATACCAAGCTATAGAATAGCTTAAGAGCTCAATAACAAATTTAACGTCCACCTAATCTGAAAGAGAAACAATAATACTTAGTTACTGTCCAAGATAAATTGTGACAATCTTTCTGTACAATAATTCACCATTTTCGCCAAGGAACATGACCAGTCAAAATAAAGGCTAAAGCTCCAACATCATTGGTTTAGAACAGAGCAGCGATTTTTAAGATAAGCGCGAGTCAAACAAACAAAAATCTCATGCACAGATCATATTGAAACAACTTCAAATTAATAGCATCTCCAGAAGATAAAAGAAGAAATTTTCTAATAGATATCCATTCTGTTAGGCCTCTTATCCCTCCAATAGAATCTATCCTACATTCTAATCTATTAAAAAAAAATAAAAAAAAATTTGAGTGCCTGCCTTCTCACCAACATAAACATGCTTTCAATGTTAAGGGGAAAAAAGCAACAAAGGAAAATCCCCAAAACTTCAGTCACTGCAGTAGAAACTCTAGGGTTGGAAAATAGAAGAACAAATGACGAATCAGAAAGCTAAACCACGCCAGTATGTAAATATCCACTCTGTTTCTGCGAGTGACCATTAACACCAATCAACCCACTATAGAACCCTTTTTTAATGCTAACATCACTCACACCAAAAATGAACATGCCGAGCAATGTTTCCATGCCATGTTTCTGCTGCTAACATTGCATGAAAAGGTATGTTTGTAGCACTCTGAGCAACCAAATCGGGAAATCAAATGAAGAATCCTTAATCCACTAAAAACACCGCTCTGTAAGCTTCCCAGTTAAACCCCATGAATCACTAGACTGACTGGTCAACTCATTTACAAAAAAAGAAACATAAAAGATTTGAATATAATGAGTCAAATGTGTTATTCAATAAATCGAGTAACAATTACTCAGATTGGAACTTTGTGCTGAAAATCCTCTCGTTTCAAAATACAATGTCACAGGCATAACTTCCATTCCTCCATCTTCATCCCCCAATATCAAACAAAGATTGATACTGATAATTCTAAATTCCGCCCTAAGATATTCCAATCCATTACCAACAACAAATGATATAATATTTAAACCGAGTTATAATATTTTTCAATCAATTCAATCCATAGAGCTATCCAAATCTGTATAGTCTGATGGACCGATAATTTTTATATGGAAATAAGGCAGGCAAAGAATCATATACCTGCTGAAGCAGCACGATCCTCTGGTTCGTAGCAGCCATAACGACGGCACAGAAGGGATATCTCGAGGCCTTCAAACTATTACTCATCTTGAAGCCTTCACTAGCCCGAATGCTCCCTCCCCACGACACGAAATTCTCATTGATATAATCCACCAACATCTCGGAGCACAAAGTCCTCTCACAAAAAGACGGCGTATCAAGATGGTCCGGCGAGTGCAAGTATACGAACAACAGCTTGAACGAGTTCCTCGACCTCTGCAGGGCGTCCATAAACCCTTCGCTGACGAAATTCGGCCTCCTCGTCCCAAAATCCTGCTCGAACCTCGCTACAAACTGCGCTGCTTCATTTCCCACCTCCGACACCGACACTAATCGGGCCGAGGCCTCACCGTCCCGACCAGCCCCGACCCCAATCATTCCGAGCGAGTACGATAGCACTCCACCCGCCGCCCACAACCCGAGCCCAACCGCGCCAGAAATCAAACCTAGACTACCAGAAATAACCGAAATCGGCAGAGTTATGATCCTCCAAGCCAAACCGGGTGCCGCGACGGCGTTTGATGACTGTCCAGAGTGGTGCGACGGTTGACGAATGGAGCGAAGACCGTCCCCACCGCCGACATCGGAGACTGTGGAGGTTCCGGCGGCAGATGGATCTTCCGGCGAAGGCGTATGGTTCGAGGTGGTGGTGAAGGAGGAGATCGCGAGCTCGAGGTCCCAGCCATGGGCGGTGAGGATCTCCACGCACAAATCGGAGTCTTCGAGGCCTGTGATCGCTTGGAAATACGCTAACTTGTCGTTCACATCGACCATCTCTGCACGCAGATTAGGGCTTTCCCTGGTTCGAATCGGGAAGAGAGAGAGAGCCGAGAACGATACGACGACGTTCTGGGATTGTCGGTTCTCTTCTCTGATAACTTACTGAGGAGGTTTATGAGAGCGTCCGCGGGAGCGAAACCTGGTGGTCAACAGATATAGGTTGTGGATGGAACGCCAAAAACGTCCCCTGACTTTTTGTGAAATAACGGAATTGCCATTGTCAACTAATTAAAAGGTTTAACGCCGGCGGGGAATAAAAGGTTTAACGTCGTCGTTTTTGCTTCTCGGCTGAGATCATGTGTTACGCGGTCTATTCAACTTCTGTACTACTCATAGTCCCATTCAAATTACAATAACACACACTCAAAAGGAGAAACAATTTGATTACAACAACGAACAGAAAAGAATAGTTACAATGTTATTATTTTTCATCTAATCTCCTGAATCAAAACCTTGCTCTTTGGTTCGGCTTTCTTCTCCGCTTTCCCAGGCCTCGAAGCCGATTGATAACTCAGAGCTGAACTCTTTTCGGCCGTTACAATGGCTGCTAAGGAAGTCCAAACTTCCCCGGTTTGCTCGTGCACCCAACACATGATGAAATAAATTTTCCGTTCGGCCAACTTCAGCTTGTTCCTAATTTCTGTTCTTTGTGACGACTTCCGTGGTTTCTCTGACTTCAGATCCCTCTCCCCAGCCTGAACCATCCTCTGCAGATCACAGAGCGAGCACAACAAAGCAGGTGTTCCTAGCGTTAATAGGCTTGTTACATCATCTATGAGACCGAGTCCAAATTGCAAGCCGCCTGTATGTTTGAAGTCTGGGGAGCAGGTCTTCTCCAAGCAATAAGACAGCACTTCCAGGACAGTCTCCGGTTGCCCACCCTGGCCCAGTACATTGGAGACAGAAAGCACCGCCATGGATGATCCTATGGCATCCGATTTCCAATCTCCATTGTAAAAACGGAGTGTGAAACAGTAGCTGTATATGATGTCCACCAGATGAACAGCTAAGGATGGTGATGGCTTTGTGGAACTCAGCTTGCTGACTGGTGGCAGTGGGGTGTCAGGCCCGGGTGGAATCTCACTCGCTTGATTGCTCTCTGAATTATCCTCAGGTGACATTGATTCATCGTCTTTGACAAGAGGTTGGATAAGTTGGGATCCTTCCTTGCTAAATGATATCGTTCTGGCAGATGGCTTCAACCACCACGGATCCCAAGGCTTAATCATCTTGCTCAGTTCCCCAGAAACGACAGCTCTTTGGAATAGTTTCTTCTCTTCTATAGATAGATCATCCAGACTAACTTCACCACCTACAAGGGTTAAAGGCAACTGACTTATGTCAGCTTTAGGAAATATGGAGGAATGCAGGAAACGCATAATCCAGAAAGACATAAGTTAAAATTTACTTCTTGCAAGTATAAAACTACAGAGTGCAAAATGACTCATGTCAGCTTTAGGACATATAGAGGAAAGCAGAGAACGCATAATCCAGTAGACGTGAGCTAAATTTAACATCCAAATATAAACTAAGGAGTGCAAATATCTGTTTCTTTGAAAAATGTAAAATCGAATGAATGAAAGATACGAAAGAACTTGAGAGCTAGAAGCTAAGTACATCAATAAAAGATAGACAGTAACATACCAGACAGCACTTTTTGAATAGTCTCCTCAGACAGTGCAGAACCTGCTGAAAAATAAGTTTAGATTTCGGTCAGAAATCCAAATTTGTGAAAAAAAACATTTAAGGACCATAATTAAACAATGATTATCTCTTAGGAAACCAATAAACACGGAAAAACTATCCTTATACCAACTACGATACTAGTTATCAATTTCATTTAAAGGCAGCCTTACGCTTATTGCTATCATCAATCAGGCCCGATTCAGCGTCGCACGAGACCTACTTACTTCATTTATACTCAACTATAAAACACATACTAGTTTAGTAAACTTGTATATGCCATCAACTGCTAAACAATCGGTAATCAGCATAACATCGATGGATTAAATCAGCAATCCAATTGTTCACTCCACCATTAAACCCACCCGAACCACAAAACATTTATCGAAAACTAACTAGATTCCAGTCCTAATTCCTAGTTCAAAGCCATAGCAATCCCTCAATAACAAACTTCTCTTATATCTTACAATGCACATACAAAATCCCAAGTACCGAAAACTCACCAAAAGCGTCATTAAACTCGAAGGCCATAAACTTCATCGAAAAACATGAGAACACCAATTTATAATAACAAAATAAAAACCTACCAGCATTATCATCATCATCCATGTCATCAGTTTCTTCTTCTTCAGAGTGAAATCGTTTCAGTATGTCCAGCATTTTCTGTTTAGTTTCGTCATCGGGCCCCAATTGCCCCATCTCCCCCACCACATTCTCCCGCATAAACGATTCAGTACACCGGAGATTATGCGACTGCTCAATCAAATCAAATTTCAAAACAATCAAACACCAAAATTACAAAATAAATATATTAAATTAAATTAAATCGGTATAAATTAGCATACTTACCTTGTAGCAGTGCAGGGAACAGTAGCGTGAGTTGCATCGAGGGCATGTGTACTGAGAAAATTGCTTCTGGCAGCTTCAATTAAACAAAAATAAAAATTGAATAAATCAAAATCTGAAAAGTTTCCAGAAAAAATAAAATAAATTATCAAGCTTTGTTGATGAAAGAGAGATTAGCTTGGAGAAGAACATACACGTGGCAGACGATACGGGAAGGAGGTTCTAGAGGGGACGAGGTGGAGGGTTTTTCTGAGGTAATGATGGATTCCGCCATGGCTGAAGGTTTTCGAGTTTCGAAGGGGTTTTGGAGAGTTATGAAGTGAGAGAGAAGGGACCGTCAAAGACTGGAACGTTCGTTTCCTTTTGCTTTGGGCTATATGGAGAGGCCCAATTGTATGGACTAAGCCCAATTAAGGGGGTCAAGGGATTTGCCGCCATGCTGCAATGACGTAGTTATTGATTATTAGATTATTATTTAAATGGTGATTAACGTGCTTATTTTAATTGATAACACATCATATAATTTGAAAATATGGTCTAAAAGTTGGTCTACCTACCATTATTCCACATACCGTATTATAGTCCGTCGACTCATTTTGGCAAGGGTTAAATAGGAAATTATGATTTTGACCTATTTCAATTCAGGAGTTTTCAATTTGGGACACTCAAATCAATTTTGATATTCAAATTTCTAAAATTTTCCAAAATTAAAATTCTAAAAGCTCTAAAATTATAAAAATACACATCGAGTTTTCAAACTTAAACTACCCACAATAATTGACTTTATGTTGAAATAATTATTTCAAAGCGATACTCTACTTATTCTTCTCTTATAAGCGGATTTATTAACCATTGTAGTTTCTGTTTTCAATATGAATTTTGAATTCCGACCTTTCAATGTTGGACATGTTCAACATTTCAAGTTATTATTTAAAGAAATTTGAAACATATTATTTAACTTTGTGACATGTACAATCTAACTCAGACCCTTCGGAGGGCATGTTGATCTGGTACAACTTTGTTAGTAGTCTGATTCTGATTCGCCTTCCGATCGCCGGCTGCCTTGAACTCAGCCAGCTCAGCCAGTTCCTGAACTGCACCTACCATACCTTCAATCCTTGCAACAATTTCGATCAGCAGAGAAGCTAAAGTCACAAGTGGAATTATGTCCATGAGAGCAACTGCTTCTGCTTCTGCTTTTGTGTTGTTGTTTTCGGGACAATCATCGGATTCCTGCGGCAGTTGTGGCTGTGGATTAATGAATAAGTTAGGAAGAGATTTCAAGTCCTCTTGGAGATCCAGAACTGCATTGTTCATTTCTCCAACTAGGAGATCTATTGCAGTTGATTTCTTCATTGTTTTCATAGTTTTTGCTAGCTCGTTTATCACTGTTGAAGAGTCTGAGCTTACTTTCATGGCAATGTTGCTGATATGCTTCTTTGTCAGCTCAGAGACCTGTTTATTCATATCAGAGAGGTTCAGTTTGTGTCATTCTAGCACTGGTGATGAAATAATAAAAGCGTTTTTTAAATAACTAAAAACATTTTTGACAACGTTGGACTGAAAAAAGAAAAAAAAATATTGGTTATAAAGGCACTTAGAAGTGCCTTTCTCGAGAAGCACGTAGTAGATGCTTCTTGTAGTTCCAACTTCCAAGTTTCAAATATTTTTCAAGAAGCACTTAGGATTTTTATTGAACTTTCAACATATGTTTTTAATAAAGTTGCTTTTAGTAGATTGCTGATATTAGAATTACCTTATTTTCAGAACTGACACAACCGTTGAGGGCCTCGATGCAATAAGCACAGTCGCGCATTGATGCCCCGATTTTGAGGTATTGCTTCCATGGATGCCGGAAGTTGAATCGGCCGTGCGCGGGCTCCCATCTAGCAAAATTGGCCTATAGAATTGAAAATGCTATTGTTAGATTTTTTCCGACAATACAAGAGAATTTTATTGAATAAAAAATGGAAGTTACGCTAAATAACCCATGAAATTATATATGTTTATGTTGCATACCATGGATTCTTCTATTCCCTTTGAACCCAAAACACATTTGTAGCCAAGCAATTTCTTGTCAGATTCTTTGTCACTACCAGCAAAGCCTCCACTATCATTGAAATAATCTGCCACACAACCTGAAAGTATAGTGGGACAATTTTATACTGTCAGCAAAATTGTCCTAGGACAGCAAACACAAGACGGGATTAAATTGTCCTAAACTTGATGGGATTGGATTAAATTTGGTACCATCTAAGGAATTGGCAAGCTTGTCCATGTTCCGAGTGATGAGCACGTAGAGTTCCTCCCCAGCCCAAATGGGGCAAATGATCATGGTTATGACAACGCACAAGGAAGTCCCAATGATGATGGTCAATATTCTTTGGCTGGCCATGTCGAATAACTGATCCACCCGGTAACCCGACACCGAAACTAAGCTGAATGTGAGGATGAAGATCATGGCACCGTAATCAAATCGAGCTTTCACTGACGGTATGAATCTCGAGAAGGTTGCTGCAGAAGCTGAAGAAAAAAAGAATAACAATAACATTATAACAGTAACACATTAGAACTTATAAGTCTACTATTTATAGCTACTCACAAAATAAAATGAGATTAATAAGACTACTACATACCTAATAAGAAAACAGATATTCCAGTGATGATAGGCTCGAATTCTTTTCCGGATCGATTTGCAATCCAATGGATGCCGATGGCAAGAAATCCGGCAAGAAAAGTTCCACATATTCTGTTTATACTTTTACATAATGTTGCACCTGCATGCACATTAACAAGTTAACAATTGATGTTTTTCGGCTTGTGAGCTTTACTAGCTAAACTTTTAGATCGTGTAAAGACACAAATGAGAAAAATTGTTAACTTACCAACAGTATTTTCGAAGACAACCACAACTGTCATAACTGCCCACATGGCATTTCCTCCCACACCTTCATAGAGAGGTCTCATGTAGTAAAAGAGTGAGACAACAGTGAGTGCCATCCCAACTTTGAGGCAGTGGATCACTTTTCTGGGATCACTGTGTCCCAAGTCCCAAGCTTTCTTCAGAAAGTTCCATACTTTCATTACAAACCCTACAACCAGACCCTTTAGGGCAAGACATGCTATGCCGGGGCACCCCTGTGCCTCGGTTGGAGCCAAAGCTTCAGATGACCCGTCGGCCATTTTTATCCTCCACTCGATTGTGCCACTCGCTTCCTTCTCCTTAGCCATTTTTTCAAAAACGGAAATAGCGAGGAAAATAGAGAATTAGACAAGCAGAACTATACGAAACTGTGGTCCTCAGGGTTATGTGGAGAAGAAGATTGTTGGTGAGGAAAGCAGTGGGACTACTGAAGTATATATACTAAGTGGGAATTTGCTTTCTGATGGTGGAACGAAAGAGCTAGCAAGTAATGATGTAAAGAAGAAAGAATAAACAAGAAATTTCCAATAGCAGCTAAAGGCCAATGCACTTGTTTTTTGTTGCATGTTGGGTAGGTCAGGTTGAAGACTCAAGGATACACGTTGATCTACAACTGCCATTAATTCCTTTCTCTGTTCACTCAAAATAGGTAAAAATTATATTCAAGCTTTCGACCATGGAGCGAACATTCGTTTTTCGATTATCATTATGTGTTCGATAATGTACCGATATCATTGTTACCAATAAAACATATTGATATCTTATCGATTTGTATCTGGCAATTACGCATAAGTCATGCATATAATCTCGTTGTTTCTTACACCTGTATCAATTGGTCGTTTTCACTTCAAACATATACAGTGTTCAATCCTAGAATTCAAAGTTTTTTATAATTCAATTAATTTGTGTTACTTGCACTGCCTAGACTCTTTAACCTACTAAATGTGATATGGGATATTTGTGGAAATTTACCAAATGTAATCAGATGACCATCAACATATGGAAAGTGGAACAAATCTTTTACCGATTATAATTAGTAATCAAACTGCATACAGATAGTTCTCTTCCTATTCCCTTTTTTTTTTTTTTTTTTTAGGAAAATCCCGACGCTACGATATGCATACAAATACAACTACAACAATCAAGTCTTATTTTACTGAGTGGGATCGGTTGTATAAATATTAGGACGTCAATGCGTTCTATTTTGCACAAGTCTTCCATTAGTTCTAAGTACTCCATATATTTTCTTAAAGTCTCTTTCCAAGTCTTCTTAAGTGTTCATCTACTCTTTTTACCGCCTCCGTTTCATAGTTATATCTTCTAATTGGAGCACAAAAATGCATGCATGGTGATTCTACTAAATATAACTAATTTGTGCAGATCTTCATTTGAAGGAAATTCTATGATACACTGATAATTAAACCTTCCAATTTTTCCTTAATGCCAGAGAGAGAGTCCTGGACCTAAGATCAAACCTTGATGACTGGTGACATATTTGTGTCCTAAATTCATCAAAAGTGGTATCATCAGCGCACTCTCATGTCATCAAATCAATATATTCTACTTATATATTATGCCACAGATAACATAATTAGGAACCAGCACTCAAGACATATTTCTTATATTACGATATCATATACCATCATGGAAGAACTATTTCAACAATCTTGTAGTCTCTCTCTCTCTCTCTCTCTCTCTCTCTCTCTCTCTCTCTCTCTCTCTCTAGTACTACGGTAAGAATCTTGAGTGTTAGAGTTTCTTTCCCGGAAACACCCGGCTTCTTATGGTTTAACGAGTTTTTCTTCTTTGCAGATAAATTATTGTCAAGCTACAAGTTATTTATAATATGTTTCAGCTTATGATTTGCAACTAAGGAAAAATAACTCGTTAACTGACATAACTTTTGGCAATGTTTAAACTTTCTTCGATATGGTCAATACTTCCTTGGAAATATCCAAAAAATAAGAGAACGATATGAAAATGGTGGTGAAGTCCAAACTACAACTCATATTGGAGAAACTGAGTTTAGGTTAAAACTGGCATATATCGTCGTTATTTCTTACACATTTGTTAATCGGAGAAACTCTTATATTTCATACAAACCAATATTTGACAATCCATAAAGTTTCATTCTAAAATTACATGATTTCCATCGAAAGCAACCGATATTGATATTCGATATATCCGTTGATATTTCCACAAATTTGCATATCAATATTTCCACCAATACATGTGGATGCAAATTTCTGCCATTTCTTCCTTTGACAAAAATGCACCTGCAAAATAATAACATCTTTGATTAAGGCCAAAAGCTTCACAAGCCCATGATGAATTTTTTTTTGGGGGAGGGGGGGTCTTGGTTGAAGAATCTCCGATGTTAAAGTTAGAATTCTAAAAAAAATGTGTTTGGGAGTTTGT